CCTAACCCTAACCCTAACCCTAACCCTAACCCTAACCCTAACCCTAACCCTAACCCTAACCCTAGGTTTATAAAAATCCTAGTACTAGTTATAGTTAGAGTTTTTTCTCTAAAGTTATTATTACTATTATATAGAATATAGCTAGACTTACTATAAAGATTAGTATTATAGTAATATTCTATAGTATACTTATAAATATTATTATTAATTTTAATTATTATATAGATAAGGTTATTAAGGTTTTTAATCTTTATACTAGCTTTTATAAGCTTATTCTTAATATTTTTCTTGAGACTATATTAATATATAGTTATTAAAATAGAGTTATTCTAATTAGTAATCTAGATATACTTTTAGAATTTAATAGTATAGTTAAATACTAAAGTATATTAATAGATATACTAAATAAGACATATAGTAACTTTATTCTTATTAGAAATACTAAAGATATAGTAGATCTCTTTTTAAACTTAATAAAGCTAGTAAAAATACTATTAGTATCTTTTTAGCCGTTTAAAAACTTTATAAGTATTAGTTTTATTTAGTACTAGGCTTATCTATAGAGATAGGTTATAGTAAATAAGGTTTTTTATTAGATTTAATTAGAGTAAACTAAAAGTAGATATCTATCTAAGTAAGCTAGTTATTAAGGCCCTAGTAGTCTCTATAATAGAGATTAGGCTTAGTAACCTTACTATTATTATAAGTAGTACTAGTAAAACGGGTCCTACTAACCTTACTAGATATATCTCTTAGAATATTACTTAATTAACTTATTTTAAGGGCATTTAAAGTTATTATAGCTAACTATTCTAGAAAGAATAACTAGTTATAAATTAGACTTATAAAGCAAAGTATTAAAGCATAGTAAAGTAGGTTATATATAAAGTAGTATATACTAAAAAGACTATTAAAATAACTAATTAAGTTAAATATAAGACTATCTAGTATAGACCTACCTACCTATCTATATACTAGTAGTAATTATAGTAAGTATATCTAAGTATAGCGTACTTATAAGTATCTTAGGTGCTTAAGTATAAAAAGTGCTTTTTATTAATTAGATAGATATATAGTAAGTATACTAAGTTTCTTTACTTAGTAGAGTGCTTATAGTGCTTATATACTAATTAGTTAGTCTATCTTATTACTAAGGTAATTCTACCTATTATTATATAAGATTATAATATAAATAAAGGTACTAGTACTCTATTATAAAGGGTATAAAATAGACCGGGCTCTTTAAATAAGAGAGATAGAAGTCTAAGTGCTATACTAAGTAACATATTTTATAGAGATAGAAGGTTAAAAAGCGGGACTTAAAAACCGGTAATTATAGATAGTTTTATCTTAGGTATTAGTAATTAATTTGCTTGCCGTAGACACGAAGTTAACCTTAATTAATCGTTATTGCTTTTTCTTAATCTTAAAATCATTCTNTTTAAACTGTTTTACCTGCGCTAGAAGCCCTCTATAGCTGGCGATTAGATGGGTCAGTCCAGACCAATAAATTGCGGCGGCCAGACATCTGAGTACCCAGACTCCCCATACAGACTGGGGATGGATGAGATGCGGCATACCTGGAGGCAGTTTCTGAGCCTTTTCCACGAGCGGTCGCATCGACTCTTCGTATCTCCCAAAAGCCTCTTTGTGACTTGTGCAGTCACTCATGGATCCGGCAAGATGATAAGCACCGGCCAATGCAAGTGTGGTGCCCATTCCTGAAAAAGGAGAAGCGCANNATGCCTGTGATCGTGTCAGTTGTGTTCAAAAACAAGGGGGAACACAAGAAACGTACCCAGCATCGCCCAACAGAACCACTCGGCCTTTGCTCCATCTGTCCAACTTGATCTGCGCAGTAGTGTCAAAGTAGAAGTCATCCGCCTCTGCTACGGCATTTCTCAGTCTCTGCTCCTGCCAAACGATTCCTTTGAGTCTTCTGAGCACCAGACTTTTCTGTGCTGGAACATCCCTTGCACTGCCTTCCAAGTCTTTTGCAATGGAGCCATCCTTGTCGGCAAGAAGCACAAGTACAGTGCTCTTCTCTTTCGTGCCCGAGGGTCGAAGCATGACACTGACGCCACCAGGAGCATGAAACCACGATCTCCAGTCTCCATCTCCTGCTTCTTTGTTTGTGCTGAAGAAAGCACCGTACATATGCAGAGGTTTCGAACATCCCTCCTGCTCTGCGCCCCAGGCCAGCTTTCGAGTCTTGCTGTGCAGACCGTCCGCACCAACGACGAGCTCGAATGTTCTTCTGCCAGCGTTGGCAAGCTGAACATACACCTTGTTGTCATCTTGATGCAAGCCTTGAATGCTGTCGCCAAAGATGAAATCCACACCCATGCCGCCTCTTGCTTTGACACTTTCGCTGACTCTCTTCGCCTGATCCAGAAGAATCTCCGCAAGTCTTCCGCGCAAGATCTCAACATCAGAAGTTCCAGTCTCGACTTTTCCAGTCTTGTCGGCGGCCATCTGTGCCCAAACTCTGTTTGCTGCGTCGACAATCTTGACGCCTTCTTCGCCGGTGGTGGCTCTTTTGACTTCTTCTGTCAGACCAAGTTCATTGATCACATGTTTTCCAAGCCCGCGAATATCGATATTCTGACCAGAGCCCAGGGCAGCTGTGTTACGCTCGAGGATTGTGATCTGTGGAAGCTCGTGGACGGAACCGGGAGAGGATAGCAGAAGGGTTGCAAGCACTGGCCCTGCGATGCCGCAACCAACAATCAGAATGTTTTGACGCGCTGATGTGTTTGTGAGAACATTGCGACGGGCTTGGGTGCTTGACATTGTTTCGGTAGAGTCCATATGTGTTCAGATTGTTTGGAGAGCGTAATGGATGGTTTGTGATCATGTCAGCATCAGCGAAAGATGAAGGGACTGCTTTGATTTATAGGTGGACATGCATGTGGTGATGGTGAAGTATTCGGGACCGAGTGAACTGAAGCTCGGGACCGAGGGGTCGTCGGAGTTTAGCCTGGAGCAAGATCCTTCCGCTTTGTTTCCCCGAGCTCCATAACATCACGCTTGCGCATGATGTTGTGTACTTCTTTGAAGTAACTCGAAGACATTTGAGATCACAAAAGCACAAACCTTTTCGTATCAAGGTGAGAGGCAGAGTATGGTGGTGTCTTCGCTGCCATCACGGCGTCACGACATCACACCGCCCAAGGAAGCACCATGTTTTTCCAGGCACCATATAATGATCTGTGCAGGGGATGTAAACAGTCTCCAAGCATGAATGGAGGTGGACCAGAGCTTTCAGACTCAATCGTTGATGAACTCCGACTTATCTCTTAACTTTTTCCCAAAACGATAAATCAGCCAAGGCACTGGCAGACACAAAATCCCCAAGCAGCCAAGGAACGTCAATGCCCAGTGATGTCCTATGCCCTGATACATCGGTCTTGCCGCAACAACCATCCCAGCAGCGACGAGATATCTGGCCATGGTGACGCTGCCCAGAGCGCTTGAGCTCCAAGTACCGTAAATGTTGATAATGTAGCTGTAGCTACTGACGAAGATTGCCGTCATGGAGTATCCAAAGAGCACTGTCGAAGCGTAAGAAGACCAGTAGCTTACACTCTTGTAGCTTGTCCAGGCTAGCCAGAATATGGAAATTGCGAAGAAGGGCGAAGCCACCATAGCTGGCCACAGGAGCGTCTCCGGTGTCTCGTCACCGCCTCTGCTGAACTTGCGATGGATGACGGTGATCAGTGGCATGAGAGCAACTGAAATCAAAGCTCCAAGACAAATCCCGAGGAAAGCAAAAGCAGTGTCTCCGTCGGAAAGGCTCCATGTGTCGGTAAAGATAAACTCAAAACCATTGAGGAAGGTGAATATGACGACGTAGATGACAATTAAGTAGAATCCCAGAGCGATGATGATTGGCTCGGTGGTGAAGAATTTTGCAGGCCGCGTTACGTTCTGAGCAAGCCTTTTCCCAAGCGAGTCTTTCCCTTCTAGATCGCAGGTGTATTTGTCGGAACTTGTGATGACTCTAAGATGATGCGCCCTCCATTGGATGATCATGGGAGATGACGTCTCGGGCAGGAAGAACAAGGCAAGCANAAAGACGACTCCGCTCAGGATAAGGCCGATCCAATAGACCCAACGCCAGGAGATGTGTCCCGTAATCCAGCCACCAGCAACAGGAGAGAGGATTGGCGACAGGAGAGGACTGAGAGCAAACACAGGCCAGATCCTGTTTCTTTCTCCAGGATCGTAGAGATCCGCCAGACTTCCACCATAGATGGACAGTGCTGCACTCGAGCATATTCCAGCTAGGAAGCGCAAGGTAATCTGAGCCCCAAAGTTCGGTGCCAGAGCATCTCCAAGTGTGAAGCACAGATACAAGAAGGATGGAACAAGATAGACGGGGTTGCGACCGAGCTCTTCAGACAAGGGGCCAACGATTAGGCTTCCAACCGAGATGCCCAGGAGAAATAAAGCAGTCGCCAAAGTTTCGGCTGTCTGACTGACATGAAACTCCTTGCTGGAAGGCTTCGTAACATTCGAGTCGCAGGCAGAAACCCATCCTTGTGAGAAGACCAGCAGGAATAATAGCAAAGTCGTCCATGATCGTTTCGTCCGAGACCAGTTGTGTGCGTCAGCTTGGTCTTTGCCATCATCGTCGCATTGTACAGTGATCTTGTCTTCGCTATGGTCGTGAATAGGCTTGATGATGGCGCCGTGTGAATCACGAGGTGGCGGCGGCGTTGATCGTTGCTGTTCAACATCGACGAGTTGTGCTGAGGAATACTCACGTCCAGTCAGGTCCAGTTCCGAGTTACTGTCGTACTTTTCGCCGCTACTAGGAGATGGAACCGGTCCATCAAAGTCTCGTTTTGACAAGATGCTTTTTTCATGGACAAGGCTTGCATATCTCCTTTCTTGCCTGTACTGTAGGAGCGTCTGCATCTTACTACGAGAAGTCGTCGGAGAATGAGAAGTCAAAGGATTGCAGATGCAGTTCGATACAGCAGCCAGTCATGTTCAAGTACTGGCAGTGAAAGGCCGGAGGAATGGAGTAGCAAGTCAGGCAATCATTTGTGGGATGGAACTCGGAGGTTTTCTTGTGGCGCTGAGCGAGAGAAGGTTGATGATCGTCAGGGTGTCAAGGTGACGTACTGAAAGCTTATTTGCCAGATCTCCTCTTAATTGGGAAGGTGAGCACACGACAAGCGATCTGGGGTCGAAAGAAGCTTTCTTGTACTTGGCGAGCCTATACCATTGCATTTAGGAAAATTACAATGACTGCGAGTATCCAAGGAGAGTATGCCAGCCTTGTCTATCCTCATACGTACAGCTCAACACATGTATTACGGTGCATTTTAGTCCGTTGACAGTATGACTGATTCATCGTAGGAAATACGTCACGGAGATACCAAACATAACGGCGTGACAGAGGGTATGTCACTGGGCTCGAAAGTCTACTTGTTGCATTTGTGACCATCTTCGCACACGCCATTGGTAAGCGCCGGATGACATGCCATGATATGCCAAGTGAGCCACATATCCCTTGATCCAGCGACCTCGGCTGCATGTCCTCGCATTGACTGTGTACGAGCGTAGTCATATTTAGATACTGAAGGAGTTAAACCAAGACAGACAACACATACATGATAGCTGTACCTGCCCTTAAACACCTGTCGTCTTCTCTTATAAGTCTGCAATGCAGCGATATAAACGCGGTCATGGCCAATTGCTCCGTATTCGCAATGGACTACTTGGTCAAGAGGATAGTGTTTCCCTGGATCTGCTCGTAAAGGTTGCGATGCGGTTGTCGAGTGAGTGCCTACGAACAACGAGATCGTACCAGTGAAGAACATGAACGAAGTTCAAAGAACTTCTACAATCCACAATGTATCCCAATTCTTCGGGCAAGTTCTCTTGACCTCTTCCATCACACATTTCCTCAAACCTCGTAGGCTATGCACTTCTGTGCGCTCGCATATGTTCTAACATACACAGACGACGACCATGGCTCCCAAAATCGAGAAGCCCTGGTGCCGCACTCCCCGACAACAATCTCGTGCTCGTGATGGGTTGCCTGGCACGTTTCAAATGCTCAGAGTCGCGATCTTTCCAACAGCACCAAATACAAGATTCCAGGTCCGGGGCGCACCATCAACACAGCCCGAGCCGATGACAAGTATGCTGTGACTCTCGAAATAATCGAAAAACATGACAACCTAGACAACGATTCTCGCGCCAGCAAGCCTATTCAGCAAGACACGCGAAAATCGTCCTACACTCCCAACTCGGGTCGCAATAGACATGTCGATTCTGATATGACAGACGACGACAACTTGCATTCGGGCAACAACAGCAATAGCTCGCCCTTAGGCAACATCAATCCGCCTTCGGGCATCGAGATCTCGCCACCACAGAACCACAGCATTGCTCCCGGCATCTCTGCATCGCTTATTCGCGACTACAACGACTACGACTACGATGGCTTTGACGAACGTTGCATTTGCGCAAGACTATTTCATCTCATGCCCGAGCAGAGTGAGGAGAGGGATGGACAGAACAAAAAAGGAAACGTGGACGAGGATGGCGAGAATGAAAAGAGAAGTAGCGACGAGAGTAAACATCAACTGAAGGGCCAGAGCATCAATCTCGAGTACATCGCGCATTTGGGTAGGTAATAGAACAAAACATCCGAGACGTGGCGTGGCGGAGTCTGGTACATCTTTTCAAGCCTTTCCACCGTCTTGCAATTAGCAATGCAAGCTTAGGGAGCCATTGCAACGCGGAGGCTGGTTTAATGTCAGAATTACAACCACAGGAGCCCATCTGATACGACATCAGTACATGTGTCATTGGATCGAAAGATGCTCACGCACTTCATTCCGCCGTCGTGTCAGCGGACTCCTGCATTTCCCGGCCGACAAGATTGAGCAGGAAGATCAACTTGATCCAGAATCTACATTTTTCATCGCTCTCTGCAGGACCTTGGTACTGTAGCCCATCTTCGAGATCGACGCTTGTGTGTCTCCATGGCTCGCTTGTGTGCCTCCTGATAGCCCAAAAATTGTTTGATGCCGGAGAACGAAACCCTATACACGGTGGAGCTAAGAATGATAGGCCTTCGATATCAACAAAAACTCCAGGTGCGCCAACGCTGAATGCATAGTCCCTCTACTCTGCTTCTACCAGGGCTACCACTACTTCTTCAACGTCCCACCTGTCGCTTTTGCAGCAGTACTCCTCGTGAATCTCCCCAGCTGACTCAAACTGCTTCTGCTCTTTTGGTGCCCTTGTCCTTGTGTCGGCATCGCAGCAGGTCTGGTCATGCTTGCTGCGCTTCCAGGCCTGCCCAAGCCACTCAATCTACCAGTGGCTTTTTCCCTCGTCGGCGCGGAGGCTTCCTTGTTGATTGTAGGTGACTCGAGTTCGTCGTCCATGTCTGGCAGAGTAAGACCATTCGGGAGAGTGGTCAGGCGTTGAGGTCGTTGTTGTGCTCGTCGAGCCTTTTCCTGTACAGACTTGAACTTCTCCAGCAGATCTGACCATTTGATGCCAGGATCTTCTCGGGACTTGAGCCGATTAGGTCTGTCGAACGTTGAGACTGAAGGTGTGGTAGGTGCNNACTATAAGAGTCAGTAATGTGAATGGAGCGATGAGGGAATTCATGAGACTCACGTTCTTGGGGCAATGTGCAAGTAGCCGATCGCGCTGACACTATTCAGGCGATTCTTAAGCGCTGCAAATGCCGAAGACTGCGGTAGAAGCATCAGAAGACCGTAAAGACACTTGTAAAGGTGGGNGAAGCGCTCCGGCTCAAGGAGCTGAAGTCGGAGATAGGTAAATACAGGCGACTCGAGTAATTGGACCAGTTTGTCGATCTGGATCAGCATGGTGACTGTCATCTCGAGCTCTGCGATGATCTGCAGCAGGTTGTAAGCTTGTTCATATGCTTGAGCGAGCAGACAAAGCGAAAACGTGGCTACAGCGTTATGACACCACGCTCTGAACAAGGTGACAAAGAATGTCTGGCCGTCTCTGTTCTCGAGGTTTCGCAAGCGTTTCCTGAGATCGGCCAATTCTGGGGCGGTAATGAGATTATTATTCAGGTTCTGCACCATGATACTTGCGAACTCGACATCGTCGTCCTTCTCCAGGCAGTCTGCCAGCGTGCGGTAGATACGTTCTGCGCTGAGGTTCAAGCACAACTGACGGATGATGAGGTTCCCTCTGATCTCGAGCAATTTTCTGTCTGTACAAAAGAGCTTCAAGAGATTAATCATGAAGGAGGTAAAGTAAGAGTCGTCGCTGTTCTTTGAAATTTGGGAGAGCAACGTGAGATCGCGTGTGACGACAGCATCTGCAGGGTCGGACAAGGTCTTGAGGAGAGCGGGGAAAGTTCCATCGTGAATGGCCAGAGTCTTTCGTGGCGACTTGCGATGAAGCATGATCAGCCAGGCCAGTGCAGCTACTCGAGTCTGCTCGTGCTCGTTGAGGAATTGCAACGTCAAGGAGTTCACAGCAGCTTCATAGTCGAGCTCTGTCGAGACGGGAGATGAGGGTTGCGGGGTTGGAGAAGTGGACGTGGCAAGTTGGTCAGTAGATTCTGCCAGCATGTCCGGACTGGTTGCTTTCCGTGCACGTATGGGTATTGAGTCTCTCCGCGTTGATTCGACGGGAGTTTTGGGTGGCTGTTGTTGCTGGCCGTCTTCGGGAAGCGACATGATATGAGCCATGAGAGCAGTGTTGACTCTGTTGGCAGCCTGACGGACTTGATCGACGTGATGCGAAAGTGCAGGCAGGACTTGCGACAGGAGACGAGGTACAAACGCGAGCATGTCTTCGGGGCAGATGTCAAAGAAGGCTTCGATCCAGCGAAGCGTCGTCATTTGTATCTCTTCTTCAGCCGAGTCGTTCAAGAACTGAATAAGGATGTCAAGAATCTTTGCGTGATCAATCTGAACGTCCTGGCCAGGGATCCACTCATCGCCAGCATCATTGTCGTCCTTCTCGTTCATGTTGGAGCTGACGAAAGAGGCCGAATCCGAGCTTGCCTTGTCATCGTTGTGATTTGTTTCGACATTGTCAGGCTGGGCCTCCGGGTCTTGGTCGCCAATCTCGAGTCCGTCTCTGCTGGATGTCGAGGGTTTCCGATGGCTCTCGGCGACGATACTTCTCTTGCTCTCGGCAATGCCCTTCTTGATGGCCGAAATCTTCTTGATCTCTGCAAGGAAACGGTCGAGGCAGACTTTTGTGGTCGTATGTACATCTGTGTTGGGATCCGAGAGGAAGCGCAGTAATCCACCGAGGAAATCTGGCAAAAAGACGACAAGCTCGAGATCCGGGATCGAGTCTAGCAGGGTGATCCAGCTGACGAGGAAAGTGCGGGTGAAGGGATTGATGACAAAGATGCGTTCGCGTAGTAGCGGGATGAACCGGGCGAGGGAGAAGGCAGTGGGTTGCTCGGCAAAGGGATCCTCGTTGTTCGGATCGAGCTGGTTGTCCAGGATGGAGACGTAGGATGCGGCAGATTCGGCGACAATGTCCTTGACCAGGCGGTCGAGCAGCTCAGCGCCATTCTTGACGGAGAGCTCGGTGTCGGCAGCCAGCTTGCACAGAGCGTCAAAGACGTCGTTGAAGTAGATGAGAACCTCGCCCTTTGCGACCTTGGCAATGTTGTACATGCTCTCGCAGGCATAGTATCGCACTCGGGCGTCTTGGTCGGAGAAGCAGGCCAGGACCGGAGGGACTATGTCTCGGAGGTAGCGAGCGACATCGATGCCGAGAGCGATGGCAGCGGCAGCCAGACCGATGAGGCCTCCGTTGCGGGCGTGGGGCTGGTGGACGGCGTATGCGTAGTCGTGGCAGAGCTGGTGGACAATCTTTTCGATGCGAACGTGGTCGTTTGCGGCGAGCGAGTCGCGGATGATGGCTTCCAGTTCCAGGGCGCCTCCTTTGCGACGGTCATACAGCTTGTCGGCCAGCGCCTTTTGTACAGACACGTCCATGGCGGCAGGAAATGTTAGCAGGTCGATCGCGGACGCGGGAACGAAGCTTCGGCAGGTTCAGTCGAATGCTTGCTATGTCGTATGGTTGCCCGATTGTCGCATGGCGGGTATGAATGTCCTCATGAATGATGCGACATGTGTTTTGTGTTTGTTCTTCTGTGACTCGCAAACATGTCACTGTCCTTGAGCAACAGGGCAGGCACGGCTTGTTGTCAGTCAGCGACTGCCCCCGAGCGTCTCCGCAGTGTCGGCCAACGGAAGCATGACTCAAGCGTCTTTTGAACGCATGACTCAGGCACCGATAAGCTGATAAGCCCAGTGACTCTTTTCGTCCCGCTGTTGTTTCGACCTTCACCCTCACCCATTGACACGCAACCATGGCCGACAAACCGTCCATCTACATTGACGAGGAAAAGGGCGTCGACGCCGAGTCCGCCACCGGCTCCGAGCAGGCCCCCTACAAATCCGTCCAGCACGCCTTCCTGCAACATGGCGACAGCGCCCAATACCAAGTGCGCAAGAGCGCCGACGAGCCGGAGTGGAAGCCCGCCGCAAAGGCCGCCCTGAAGAAGGCCGCCAACTACGCCGACGCCCAGAAGAAGAAGGCCGCAAAGGAGAAGGAGCTCGTCATCCGCCAGCAAAAGGAGGAAGAAGACCGCCAGAAGGTGCTTGACGAGGCCAAGAAGATCGAGGTCACCGAGGACCCCTCGCTGCCCGAGGCCAAGAAGATCAAGCTCGACAACAAGATGGTCCAGCTGCGTGGGAACGGTGTCGACAAGGGCTCGCGCGTCCGCGTCTTTGGTCGTGTCCACCGCTACCGCCANGCAAAGGGCCTCGTCTTCATCACTCTCCGCGATGGTTACGGCTTCATGCAGTGCATCCTCCAGGGCGACCTCGCAAAGTCATACGACGCCATCACCCTCCAGCGCGAGAGCAGCATGGAGATTGTCGGTGAACTCGCCCAGGTCCCCGAGGGAGCCCACGCCCCTGACAATCGCGAGCTGCACGCCGACTACTTCAAGGTCCTGTTCAAGGCTCCCGGCGGTGACGACGCCATCACCAACAAGGTCCAGGCCAAGGGTGATGCCCAGACCCTGCTCGACCTCCGCCATCTCACTCTCCGTGGCGAGGTCGCTTCCAACGTCATGTTCGTCCGCGATGCCGTCGAGTTTGCCTTCCACCAGGTCTACAGAGAGGTCCGCTGCCGCAAGGTCTCCCCTCCCGCCCTCGTGCAGACCCAGGTCGAAGGTGGCGCCACCCTCTTCAAGTTCGATTACTACGGCGAGTCTGCCTTCCTCACCCAGTCCTCGCAGCTCTACCTCGAGACGGTGCTGCCCTCGATGGGCGACGTCTACTGCATCGAAAAGTCGTTCCGTGCCGAAAAGTCCCTTACCCGCCGCCACTTGTCCGAGTACACGCACGTCGAGGCCGAGCTCGACTTCATCACCTTTGACGACCTGCTCGTCCACCTGGAAGAGGTCATGTGCCGTGTCATTGAGATCACCATGAGCGACCCCAAGATCGCCGCCATCATCAAGGAGCTCAACCCCGAGTTCCAGATGCCCCAGCGCCCCTTTATGCGCATGAAGTACAGCGAAGCCATCGATTGGCTTATCGAACACAACATCCCCAACGAAGAAGACCAACCCCACAAGTTTGGCGACGACATTGCAGAGGCCGCCGAGCGCAGAATGACGGATATCATCAACCGCCCCATCTTCCTCACCCACTTCCCCGTCGAGATCAAGGCTTTCTACATGCAAAAGGACAAGGAGGACCGCCGTGTCACCGAGTCTGTTGACTGCTTGATGCCCGGTGTCGGTGAGATTGTCGGTGGCTCGATGAGAATGGACGACTACGATGAGTTGATGGCAGCCTATGATCGCGAAGGCATTGACCCCAAGCCTTACTACTGGTACACCGACCAGCGCAGGTATGATTCTACGCCATTCTCCCTGGCGGACGAGATCGCTAACACAATCATNCGCAGATACGGCTCTTCTCCTCACGGCGGTTACGGTCTTGGTCTTGAGCGCTTCCTCGCTTGGCTCTGCAAACAGCACACCGTCCGTGACACTTGTCTGTACCCTCGCTACATGGGCCGCTGCACTCCTTAGTTTTCTTGCATTAGCCATGACGAGAGGAAAAGTGTGTGGGAATCTCCATAGCAAAAAAGCTACAGAAAACCCTTCAGTTCATCTTCAGATACACCTCTTTTCATTCTTGCCTTGTGACCAACCTTGAATCATCTGTTTCCTAAGATAAATCATGCTCTTTATCGCCTATATTGTTTGCTTCTCATCAACGATCTATGTTCGGATATTGTGTTGGTGAAGATGAATTACTATCCTCGCCAAAAGAAAAAGTCGAATTCGGCCAAGTCAATTGAAAACAGTGGTGACCCTGGCACCACTTTTTCCCACCTCGACAATTTTCCATCTATCATGCATGTCTTTACTTTTCCGCTCAAAGATCAATCTCTATGGCTGTGAGTGTGAGATAAAGGCTTTAGATTGCTGGGTTTCTGACTTTGCGTGACGATAAGGATCGACGTTTAATCCTAGACCGCCATCCCCCTATTGACACATCAGATTGTTGAACTGAGGCGCCTTGGATTGTCACACAACACACCGATCATCCGTACATGATACATTTCTGTATTGTTTCTGGCTTGTTGTCTAGAAAGGCAGAGGTGCAAAATGGGATAGCCACTCGAATGGAGACACGACTGTTTTTGCATTGATACAATAGGACGAGATCGTTGAGTCTGGAGACAGCAGAATCTCAATGCCGAACAAGACCTCACACGTCAAAAGCCACCACCATGAAAACAAGATGATCAGTGGCAGAATCACAGAAACATTATGGCACAAATGCTCAAAAGATACAAGGCTACTATCAGCAAGACAAGAAAGCTCACGACAAAGAGACGGCAGCCAGGTCTTGACGTATAATAATTGTACAATTGCATCATATACACAAGAATGAGGCCGCAACGAAAAGAAAAAAAAACAGATTTGCTATTAACTCAGATGTAATGCAGAGGAAACCAGAAAGTAACAGACGCGTCTGCTGCATATAAAACGCCTCCCGTTTTCAATTCCCTTTCTTCAAAGCCACTACCACCTGTTCAAGGCTTAGTAGTGGATGGCCTTGCCGTGAGTGGCCATGGCAGCCTCCTTGAAGGCCTCGGCAAGAGTGGGGTGAGCGTGCGAGGTTCTGGCGACATCCTCGGACGAAGCACCGTACTCGAGTGCCAAAACACCCTCGGCAATCATCTCACCGGCGTTGGGGCCGACAATGTGGATACCGAGAATGCGGTCAGTCTCGGCGTCGGCGAGGAACTTGACCATACCGTCAGAGTCGGCGTTGGTCTTTGCTCTCGAGTTGGCAGAGAAGGGGAAGGAACCGATCTTGTACTTGACGCCAGCCTCCTTGAGCTCGGCTTCGTTCTGGCCGACCCAGGCGACTTCGGGGTGTGTGTACATGACCGAGGGGATGGCGCCGTAGTTGACGTGGCCGTAGTTCTTTGTGATGAACTCGATGGCGGCGACGGCCTCCTCCTCGGCCTTGTGGGCAAGCATGGGGCCGAATGTCACGTCTCCAATGACACGGATGTGGGGGATCTTGGTGCGGTATTCTTGGTCGATGACAATGCGGCCGCGGTTGTCGGTCTCGAGACCAATGTTCTCCAGACCAAGACCGGCGGTGTAGGGACGGCGACCGATGGCGACGAGGACGACGTCAGCCTCGANGCTGTGGAGTGTGTTAGTTGTGGTGTTGCAGAAGAGAAAAAGTCAGGCACTCACAGTCTCCTCCTTGCCGCCCTTGGCAGCCTCGACCTTGATCTTGACGTCGGCAGCGCTGTCGTCACCCTCAACGACCTTGGTGTTGAGCTTGAACTTGATGCCCTGCTTGGCGAGGGTCTTTTGGATGTTCTTTGAGATCTCAGCGTCCATGCCGGGACCGCCGATCTGGCCGAGGAACTCGACAACGGTAACCTCAGCACCGAGACGCGACCAGACGGAAGCCATCTCGAGACCAATGATGCCACCACCAATGACAACCATCTTCTTGGGAACAGTCTCGAGAGCAATGGCGCCGGTCGAGGTGATGACCTTCTTCTCGTCGATGGTGAGGCCGGGGAAAGGAGTGGCTTCGGAGCCGGTAGCGATCAGGATGTTCTTGCCGCGGACGCTGGTCTCACCACCCTCGGTGAGGTTGACCTGGACGGTGTGCTCGTCGGCGAAGGCGCCGGTGCCCTTGATGTACTCGACGTTGTTCTTCTTGAACAGGAACTCGATACCCTTGGTCAGGCCGTTGACGGATGTCTCCTTGGCCTTCATCATCTGCTTGAGGTTGAGCTTGACATCGCCGACTTCAATACCGCGGTTCTTGGTGTCGTGGAGGATCTGGTGGTAGAGGTGCGAGTTGTTGAGCAGAGACTTTGAGGGAATGCAGCCGACGTTCAAGCAAGTACCGCCGAGGGAGCCACGCTTCTCGATACAGGCGACNNCTGGGGAGTGTGACTGGTCAGTGTGTGCGTTCTTGGAGAGGACGTAGAGCGAAAGCCGCACCTTGAGGCCCTCCTGACCGGCCTTGATGGCGGCAACGTAGCCGGCAACACCACCACCAATGATGACCAAGTCCTTCTCCTCNNTGCGCAAAAGAGTCAGCCCGAGCTCTCTCTTGTAGTCCCTTCATGCGAGCGTACCGGTCTCGGTGGCGTATGATCTCCTTGACTGGACTCTGTCGACGAGGTAAAGGGTCGAAGGCGAGGCGCGGAAAGTGTTGTTTGCCGAACGGAGCAGCGGGCGCGATGCGCGGGNGATCATGTGCGAGAACATGGCGACGGCAGGGCGGGAGTGGAACAGGAAAACGAAGGAAAACAAAGGTCCTGTGAGTCGGGATTGGATAACAAAGTCGCTCTGTTGAGGTTCCAGCTCTTGCTCAGCAACGACGAATCGTCAAAGCCGTGCCAAGCCTGCTCTGTTCGGTCAGAAGCTGCGGACTCCCGCTGCCGCCTGCCAATTCTTGCTCCGACACGCCCGACTCTTGCCGAGACACCCCTCGACTCGACATCAACAAGGCGCAAGGAGCCTCTCCATGGGTTTGAATATTCGCCTTGGAATGAAGATGGTAATAAAACAAGAATATGTACATGGTGAATAGAACCCAAGACTCCAGGATGATGCTATTGTTCCGTTCTGTGGCCTCCCATGTCATGGTATCATTCGCTTTTCTCAAACAGAACTCCAAACTCATGCTCTTACTTGACACTGATGATTCGAACCTCTCACCTCACTCTTCATCAGGATTCAATCCTGAGCCATTTGAAGCACCGAGGTTCAAGAAAGGATGCTCAAGCGCCTCGTCGGCTGATATACGCTTCGAGGGATCAAGCTCGAGACAAAGAGACATGAACTGGACGGCTTCTTTTTCCTCGTCAGTGAGCGGCAGGTCCGTCTTACGACGCTCGGTACACCACAGCAAGATCTTCTCCCAACTGTGGCCGTTCTCGCTGATGGTGGGAATGTTGGTTTGCAGGACCTGGCCGTGCAGTAAAGCAGCCTCGTTCATGCGCCGTTTGCCAAAGATACTGCACAGCTCGATGAAGGCATCGATGTCGTCGGCAGAGTGGAAGAAAGGGAAGCGGCGACTCAGAAGAGTGAGGAGAATGATGCCGCAACTCCAAATGTCGATTATACAGGTTTGGGAAGTGCACTTCAGCAAAACTTCGGGAGCGCGAAAACCTCTCGTGCCGGCGCGGTTCGCTCTGCGAGAGTTCCTCGAGTCCTCTTTAGGGTATGACGGAGGTGGTGGTAGCTGGCCAGCATCCCGATATTGTGTGCGGATCGAAGAGTAGAGAGAGTTCTGGTAGCGGTGTTGGCGGTCCGAGATTGAGTACTGGCAGTTGCAATGGTGCCAGTCGGTTCCTTCTCGCTCGGCCAGACCAAAGTCAACGAGGACGCCCTTCTGGGTGGTGGGCGAGTATAGGAAGTTTGTGGGCTTGATGTCGCGGTGAATGATCTGGTGCTCGTGGACGGCGCGGACGGCGGTGAATAGCTGGTTAAAGTAGACACGCATATCGTTGACGGTCATGTCGCGGAAGTAGTCGCGAAAGTCACGGTGCTGAAAGTATGGCAGGACGGCAACGACCTGGTCTTGATGGCGGAAAGCGGTGATGAGCGGACAGACATTCTGCGAGTCGCGAAGGTCGTAGAGCAGTTCGAGCTCGTTGAAGATGCGCATGGGCGACGAGGTGACGTAGATCTTCTTGATGGCGACGTAGCGAGCGCGTGGACGGTCTCGTGCTGTCTTTGCTTGTGGGGAGAGGGACATGTCGTTCCAGTCGTTCTTGTACTTGTCGTAGAGGAGGTCTTCGGCCTTGTAGACGGTGGAAAAGGTGCCTGGGAGAGTCAGACAGGTTGAGTGCAACGAGGGCATGAGATGCTAAGTACCTTCGCCGATGCGGTTGATCAGACGGAAGCGCTGTGAAATGTTCTTGAACGACTGTTCGAAGCGATGAATGTCGTCCTGGACCGAGGCCTCGACCTCCTCGTCGCTTCCATCGGACTGGGTGGCTTGACTCTCGTCCATGCTGTTCTTGCTTTCGTCCATGGCGTCCTCGGTCTCGTCCTCGCTGCGCATGTGATAGTCGGCGACGGGTATGGCCTCGCGCACCGTCTTGGCTGCTCGCATGCTGGCCATTGTGTGAGATCCTGCTGACGAGTTGACACCAGATTCGGATCAAAACAGGAACATGCTTTGACTGCAAGTCTTGTCAGACCAGAGTTGTTGATTGTTTATTGTTGTGCTGCAAGAAAATGCCCTCCAAAGTCGCGCTCGATGATGGAAGACCCAGGCAGCAGCAGCGACGCCTTCCCCGATCGGGCAAGACATCAACACGAGATTCGTCTTCTCCGCAAACATCAACACCTCAGCTTTCAGCTCCTTCCTCTCTTGCGCAAACAACTTGGAACACCAACGCATACCTTCCACAGGGCGTGCCTCGCCCAACATGGAGGCCCTCCAGGATTTCGACATCAATCATGCCCTCAAGACATACCTCAACAACCCACTGGACACCGACACGCCCGACGCGCATCCCGACCTACTCGAATGCGAACACAACCCCGAGGACTTGACTCCCGCCTTGGTCAACACCGTCCTCAACCCCATCGTGGACGCCATCACAGAAAACCCTGAAGCCGTCGCTCGGTCAGCCAACTTTGACTCGCTGCAGTTCCTTCTCAAGTGCGCTCCCACCCATCAAGAAGACGCCTCTCAGTCACATGAGCCTGACAATGTCCTCAGAAAGTTCAACCTCATCCCAACCCACTCGCTCTCCAAGCTCCTCGACCTCATCCTGTCCGCTCTCTCCGCCGAGGCCGACGCTGTTCACAATGACATCGAAGCCGACGAACAAGACTCGATCCCCCAGCACAAGCTGCTCCTCGAGATGCTCTCCTTTCTTCTCATGTGGTGCTTCACCAGCGTCGAAACAAGGGTCGCCTCGGAAAAGTCGGCCGCACCCGCCGCTCGTGCAAGAGGAGGAAAGCCTGCCACAACANNAAAAAAGTCTGCAAAGGATGCGCCCTGGGATCCCTCCATGCAGATTCAGTCGGCACTCAACACCATGGCAAAGGTCATGAAGCTCAAGCTCGCCAGAATCTTCGTCACCACCTCCGAGCGCGACACCTTCATCGGCCTCTTCACCCGCCCCGTCTACCTCATGATGGAGAACGAAGCAAGAGTCAAGAGCACCGCCATCAAGATGCACGCCTTCAAGGTCTTGTGCATCGCCATCAAGCACCACGGCCACGCCTCTGGAGCCCAGACAAACATCATTCAGAGCCTTTTGTACTTTGAGCACCTCTCGGAACCAATGGCTGAGCTGCTGAACATTCTCGCTGAACAATACGACTATCCCCAACTCTCCGAAGAAGTCTTGCGCGAGCTGAGCAACCAAGAATTCAGCAGCAGCGACTTGAAAGGCCCCAAGTCCGTGTCTACATTCATCACAAAGTTCTCCGAGCTGGCACCGCGACAAGTCATCAAGCAAGTCATGCTGCTCGCCAAACTGCTCGACAGCGAATCCTACACTTTGCGCTGTTCCATCATCGAGGTCTGCGGAAACCTGATTGCCATGTTGAGCAAGCAGGAAGGCGAAGAGCGCAGTGAGAACCACAAGGGTCAGATCAATGCCTTTTTCGAAGTGCTCGAAGAACGTTTCCTCGACATCAACCCCTACTGCAGATGTCGCGCCCTTCAAGTCTACGTGAAGCTTTGCGATCTCGAAACAAAGTATCCCAAGCGCAGGCAGACCGCAGCGGAGCTCGCTTGTCGGAGTCTGGAAGACAAGAGCAGCAATGTCCGCAGGAACGCCATCAAACTGCTCGAGAAGCTCATGGAGACACATCCCTTCGCTGTTCTGCACGGTGGTCAGCTGTCATACTCGGACTGGAACTCGCGTTTGGAAGTTTGCGAGGCTGAGCTCCACGCTCTGAAGCCACCACAAGAAGCTGCTGGTATGGTGGAACAGCAAGAAGCTACGGTCGACGAAGAGCTCTTGGACGATGCCACCCAGATGTCACCTGTCAAGGAGAAACCAGCCATGACCGAAGAGCAGAAGCAGGCAGCTTTTGAAAAGGCCGCTGCCGAAGCTGTCACGTCTGAGATGATGAGCAAGCTGACTCTCACTCGTCGCTACTACATCGAGGCGCTCAAGTTTGTCGAAGTACTCCACGAAGCCTCGCCCATCATCACCCAACTGCTCGCTTCCAAGAACAAGTCCGAAGTCATCGAGGCCATGGACTTCTTCGTCATTGCAAACGCTTACAACATCGAGACTGCCCGCACGGGGATTCGAAAGATGCTACGCCTCATCTGGACCAAGGGCAACAGCGACGAAGGCAAGGGCGTGCAAGCTCATCTCATAGAATGTTACAAGGGCTTGTTCTTCGAGGCTCCGAGCGGCTTTTCTGCAAACGATTCTGCCAACTTCATCGCCAGGAACATGGTCAGTCTGACATTCGGAGCGACAGCGGCCGAGTTGACCAGTCTGGAGCAACTACTTAGCACAATGATGCAATCAGACTTCATCAAGGATGCCACTATACAGAAGCTTTGGCAGATATACGGCATTGAGAAGAGAGAGATCTCGAAGAACCAACGTCGCGGTGCCATTATTGTACTTGGTATGCTCGCCTTGGCTGATCCTGAAATCATCGTCAAGGAGATGGAAAGATGTCTTCGTATTGGTCTCGGAGCTTACGGCAGGACGGATCTGGTTCTGGCCAAGTTCACCTGCATTGCTCTGATGCGCATGAATAACCCCAAGCACTCCAAGGGCGTCCAAGCTGCTCCAACTTCGACACGGCTGCCAAACGACCATGCCGTTCTCCAGAAGCTGGCTGCCATGGCAGATGTGAAGTCTTCGAGCAAGGAGTGGTATGGTCTTGCCGAGCAAGTTATCAGCGCCATCTACGCTCTGTCCAAGCATCCCGATGAGTTGGCGTCCGAGATTCTCAGATTCAAGACGAAAAAGGTCTTCTCCGCGGCTGCAATTTCAACCAAATCTGGACCGGTCGAGGTCAAAGATGACGGTGACGTTGAAATGAGTGGCATGAACGACGAGCCGATGGAGGATGCCCCTCCAATCAAGAAGGAAGAGGAAGAAGTCAAGATGCCTGAAGCTGAGGACTCTGCTCTGCCCTTGTCTCAACTACTTTTCACCGTCGGTCACATTGCTATCAAGCAGATTGTTCATCTAGAACTTTGCGAGATGGACTTCAAACGCCGAAAGATGGACAAGGAAAAGCAGGCCGCAGCAGATCCGACGCCAGTCAAGAAGGGCAAGGGGGCGAAGAAGGATGCTAAAGACGTCAAAGAAGAGGAACAAGATGATCTCGACCTCATCACTGGCACGACTGAGGACGACTTCACGGACGCCATTGCACATGTGCGCGAGAGAGAGCTTCTCTATGGACCTCAGTCGTTGCTGACCAACTTTGGCCCGCTGGTTCGCGAGATCTGCATGAACAATACATCATACGCCAACCAAGAGTTGCAGGCACAAGCTGCTCTGTGTTTGGCCAAGCTCATGTGCGTGAGCTCAGAATATTGCGAGCAGAACCTAGGATTGCTCATCACCATTCTCGAGAGAAGTCCCGATGCCACGACTCGCAACAATTTGGTGATTGCTCTTGGAGACATGGCAGTCTGCTTCAATCACCTGATCGACGAAAACACCGACTACCTCTACCGCCGCTTGTCTGACAGATCACTACCGGTCAAGCGTACCTGTTTGATGACGCTGACATTCTTGATTCTTGCTGGACAAGTCAAGGTCAAGGGTCAACTCAGCGAGATGGCCAAGTGTGTCGAGGACAGCGACGACAGAGTGCGCGACATGTCACGCATGTTCTTCAGCGAGCTGGCCGGCAAGGACAATGCCGTTTACAACCAGTTCGTTGACATGTTCAGTCTCCTTTCTCGTGATGAGGAACTTGAGGAAGACCAGTTCCGACGCATCATCAAGTTCTTGTCAGGCTTCATCGAGAAGGACAAGCACGCAAAACAGCTTGCGAACAAGCTGGCAGCCAGACTGCCTCGCGCAGAGAATGAGAGGCAATGGAATGACGTCGCATATGCACTCGGCCTTCTGCAGCACAAGGACGAAGAGATCACCAAGGTGGTCAATGAAGGGTACAAGATTATTCAAGCACAGGCTTGAGGACCATGATTGGATTGGACTGGCGTTGGTGGATGGTCATGGGTCACGAATTGTATAGGCTTCTTTTCTTGTTGATACCCATTGAAAATGACATTGTTTTACTCCTGGTGCTGACACAGGCTGTCTGGCTTTGTGAACAAAACTCTGATGTTGTTGCCCTGGACAAGGTATTGTCAGCAGTACTTCTATCAAAAGTACAGTTGTCTCTGAACGTGATTTGTGTCCAGAGAAGAGCCATGGTAGAAGTTATTGATGGAAAGCACCCGAGATTCTCCGACGACGCCGAGGAAGGAACGAGGCATGACGAGCGCTGTTGTCAAGCAGTCTGCTTGTTGGTCTCCATCTCGACGCATGAACCTCTGGAAATATCAACAAAACACAATGGATGCGTCTTACGAACATGAACGCATGATAGCGGAGCTTGCGGTGCAGCGGGCATCCCTCTTGACCAAACGAATCCTCGCCGACATCGACAAGGGCGCCCTGGACAAGAGCGACCGCACTCCCGTCACTATTGGCGACTTTGGCGCTCAGGCTCTCATGATTGGCGCAATACATTACAACTTCCCCGAGGATTCATTCATCGGCGAAGAGACGGCAACTGCACTGCGCGAGAATGACCAATTACGAAACCGCGTTTGGGATCTCGTTTCGACCACACATCTGCAGGAGAAGGAGTTGGATGAACGATTGGGGAGTATCGGCTCAGCAGAAGAAATGTTGAACACAATCGACCTGGGCAATCATCCTGGTGGCCGTGAAGGCCGCATCTGGATTCTGGACCCGATCGACGGCACGGCGACCTTCATGCGCAATCAGCAATATGCCGTCTGCTTGGCCTTACTTGTCGACGGCGAGCAAAAGGTAGGCGTCATTGGATGCCCCAATCTGGACCTCAGCACCGGCAAGATATCTGAGGAAAACGCCGACAACGCTGGCGATGGCCAAATGCTTTCTGCCATCAAAGGCCGAGGCGCAACCATCAGACCTCTAGGTCATGGAGGACTGCAGCCAGCCACGCCAGTCGACAAGCGCGAAGACATTTCCAGCGATCCAAGCACGCTCGACTTTGTTGAGTCTGGAAACAGCAAATCCGTCGATCTCGACTTCCACCGCAAGGTAGCCGAGAAGCTGGGCGCCCCATGGCCTGGTACCGACATGTGGTCCTCGCAAATGCGATATATCGCAATGGCCGTCGGCGGTGGCGACATCATGCTGCGTTTCTACAGCAANAAAGGCCACAAGTCTTACCTCTGGGACCATGCAGGTGGCTTCCTCATCTTCGAAGAGTCAGGAGGTAAAGTCACTGATCTAGATGGCAAGCCTATCGACTTTGGCGCCGGCAGGAGGTTCGAGAACAACAGTGAGATGGTTGCTGCTCCGGCAAACGCGCAACCGCGCATTCTTCAGTTGGTCAATGAAATGCTTGGAGCTTGAGGCATCACCAGCAACCGCTCGGCAAGTCGCTCTAATTATTCACTCGCCAGGATATGCAAAGACGCCAGCACCCCGCTATGGTTCGTGATAGAGTACATTGTACCTAAGTAACCAATGAACACTCTTGTGAGCTGGACTCGACACTACCGCTTCCGTCTCTCGGATTGACAGTACAGCATGGCTGTAAAGTATCGCAAGGCATAAGTGTTCCAGTATTGAGATCACGTCCAAAGAGAGTCCTTATCTCTTCAGCTTGCTCAGGCCGCATGTTTTATCCCCCCCAATCACTACCGTGCATTCTCACAGTACTTTATGATATGCATTGAGCAAGGAGAGAAAAAGATTATGCAATAAAGTCTCAGGCCCAGCTCCGTCTTTCTGGAAGGCTTGAAATTCGCCACCTTTATCACAGATCACCAGTATACAGGAACCGAGGCTGTGGATGTCGCCTCCTTGATCGGAAACTTGCTATTTCTCAATAACCGAGTGCAGATAGAGACCACCAGTTGACGTCCAACAACCTCCGGCAGACTGCGATGTTGCCGGCCGTAATTCGACTGCCAAGTTGTCTGGGCGCCTCTTGACCCATTTCGCCAAGTCATGCGCAGACATGCCAACCCTTATAACCACCTCAAGTTACAACAACCTTCCCGATTCGGCATTCGAGATGGTGATATCTGTCGCAATGGTATCAAAAGATTACCTCTTATCAATTGAGTTCCTAGAGCCAAGATGTCGCTATCTCCGCAGTTCGAGCGCGACGTCCTCAGAAACGTCTCCGCTTTGCTTCTCGCGTTTACCAAGACTCTTGGTAGTAGACTTCGTAGCACGAAACAGTCCGCTAAAGTTGATTAAACTTGCCTGCAGGAGACTGAACAGCACAATCAAACGAGTGATGCGCATGATAGCGACGCCACACCAGTAAGTCGTGTGTCCAGGTCGTTCATGGCGTGCGATAACTCAAGGCAAAGGTAGCAGGATGGCTCCTTGGAAAGATAAGGTGATCAACGGGCAAAAGTCAGAATACAAGATATAAAGTCCCACAAGCGGGGTGCTTCTGGGTTGAACAACCATCTCATTGCTTCGCTTTCGCATTCTTACCTGCTGTCTGTTGTCAATCATGGCTGAACCAGAGAAGAAAATCACGGAGGTAGATATCCAACCCGTTGGCAAGGATGTGGCTGTTGGTAGCATAGTTGAAATGGTGAGTGACTTTCCAAGGCTTCAACTGGCACACGAAACATCATTTAGCTCTCGATGCTGACAAGTGCTCAGNAAGAATGAGTCGGGCGAGAGCCTTCCGAACAAGGAGTTCCAGGAGTAAGTACACGTTACAACTGGTCGTTCAACAAGCCCTCATATCCTTCCNAGCGATCTCAATGTCACTGCCGATGACTACATTCATGCAAGGGAAGAAGCTCAGAGTTTCACGCTCGAGGAGACTAGGAATATGATGGAGAAGGTCTGGAAGATCCATGAGCTGGATCCCAACTTCCCAGATAGCATTCTCGACAAGATCAAGGAGTTCCTGTTCAACGAAGATGTCTTCATCAACCCCGAGAAACACGCTGAACTCATCGCGGAAGTCAAGATCGAGGCTGCTCTGATCGTCAACAACTCTCCATACGCTGAAGTCAGAGCCGTGGTCGACAACACCGATGACCCCAATATGCCTTGTGCGTCTCTGCGAGCTTATGTCATCGGCTTGCTCTTTGTCACTGTGCTCGCTTTCATCAATCAACTGTTCTCGATCAGACAGCCTTCAATCACCGTCGAAGCCAATGTCGCCCAGCTGCTTGCCTACCCTGTTGGAGTCGGTGCTGCAAGATGGCTCCCTGACAAGGGATTCACTCTGTTCGGAACACGCCACAGTCTGAACCCTGGGCCGTTCTCTAAGAAGGAACATATGCTTATTACCATCATGGCCAAAGTCGGAGCCAACCTTCCGTATACTGACTACGTCGTCTGGGTACAGTTCCTTCCCCATATGTTCAACCAGAGTTGGGCTGGCTCCTTCGCATATCAGATCGTGATTGCGATCGGTACGAACTTCATTGGATTCGGTCTCGCTGGCATATGTCGGCGCTTCCTCGTCTATCCTGCCTACTGCGTCTGGCCCACCTCTCTCGTGACAATGGCTCTAAACAATTCTTTCCACGACAGCTCCAATCCTTCCGTCATGGGTCCGTTCAAGAGTATCTTGACAATGTCTAGGCTGAAGTTCTTTGTCTTGACCTTTACAGCCATGTTCTTCTGGTTTTGGTTGCCCAACTTCCTCTTCGAAGCCCTCAGTATCTTCAATTGGATCAACTGGATCGCACCAAATAACCTGCACCTTTCCACTATCACCGGCATGAACAATGGACTTGGCATCAATCCTTTCCCTACCTTTGACTGGAACATTCTGCTTTGGGATCAAATGGACCCCTTGATGGTGCCTTTCTTCAACACAATCAATCGTTTTGTCGGTCTTGTCATCTCCGCCTTTGCTCTTCTTGGTATTTGGTACACAAACACTTTCAACACTGGCTACTTGCCCATCAACTCCAACAAAGTCTTCGACCATTTTGGCAAATTCTACAACGTTACTCGCACGCTGGACGACCGTGGCATGTTCGATGCTGCAAAGTACACCGATTATTCACCAGCATACATGAGTGCTGCCAGCTTGACCTCTTACGCATGCTTCTTTGCCATCTATACCGCAACCATCTCTTATGCTTTCATGTACCACCGTCACGAGATCATGATGGGCTTCAAGAATCTCTTCCACCGTGGCGAAAGACAAGAGTACAACGACGTTCACAATCGCTTGATGTCTGCTTACCCCGAAGGTTGGTGAAGCTCCCCATTCTCTGAGATATCTAGCTGAAAGTCTACAGTACCTGAATGGTGGTATCTTATCTGCCTTCTAGTATCCGTCGCTTTCGGTTGTGCTGGTATTGCCGCATGGCCGACCTATGTAAGCAATCCCCACCGTTTATTGTAAACGATTTGCTGATTCACCCCCTCGCTANNGACCACTGTTGGTGTTGTGTTCTACGGTCTTGCTCTCTGTCTTGTCTTTATTCTTCCTATTGGGATCATCAGAGCCATCACTGGTATTCCAGTCACCCTCAACGTCTTGGCCGAGTTCATCGGAGGTGCTTGGGTTGGAGGCAATGCCCTGGCCATGAACTTCTTCAAGTCCTTTGGCTACGTCACCTGCGCTCACACCATCCAGTTTTTGAACGATCTCAAGCTTGCTCACTACACAAAGATTCCGCCTCGCCATGCTTTCTGGGCTCAGATGGTTGCGTGTCTGGTTTCTACGTTCGTCTGCACGGGCGTGCTCAACTTCCAGATCCACATCAAGGATGTCTGTACTACTGATGCGCCCAACCGCTTCTACTGTCCTGGAAACAACACCTTCTTCACTGCTTCTGTGCTTTGGGGTACTCTCGGCCCTCACAAGGTGTTCGGCAAGGGTGGATTGTACACCACTCCTCTTATTGGCTTCCCTATCGGTCTGGTTGTGCCTCCGATTCTCTACTACACCACTCGCCGCTTCCCGCACAAGAAGTGGCTTCGTCAGATCCACCCCGTAGCGATGATCTACGGCGGTCTCACTTGGGCTCCCTACAACTTCTCGTATGTCTGGCCTCAGGTGCCTATTGGTTTCATGGCCATGGTCTGGCTCAAGTCAAGATACCTGGCTTGCTGGTCCAAGTACAACTACGTGCTCAGTGCTTCTTGGTCTGCTGCCATTGGCATTTCCGCCATCATCATCTTCTTCAGTGTGCAATACTCGGGCAAGGTCAGTCTGGATTGGTGGGGTAACAATGTTTCGTACCAAGGCTGCGAGAACAAGGCTTGTACGCTGTTGAAGCTGGGTAAGGGAGAGTTCTTTGGACCTCGCTCTTGGTAATTTTCCGTTATTAATGATGTCAATATGTCTGGTTACGATGATGATATTGGGTAGGATTTCGTGCGCTCTTGTCTATAGTGCTAGTTTTGAATTGCATGCTGTCCTGTTCGCGGACATATCTCTACTCGATTGTGATAGGTCTCTTGCCACATTGCATAATGCTCTGAATTTCGTTAGTAACGCTACTCAATCAGTAACGTTAGTCACAAGCGAACCTCGTGCTCCGCACTCCTCCGCACCCCGCAAATATTTATGTTTATCTCCCTGTCGATCATGTCCGTCGTCAAGCATCATTCTGACTTTAGGCAGATGTCGCTACTTTATTTGATGCAACTCGCACCTCTCGCCTTGTTCTGATAAAGCAATATATATGCTTCCCCACCGGACCAGTCGCATAGATGCAGGCACGAATTTCTGAAACTGCGAGCTAACCAATGCAAAACTCTACGGCCGCAGCGTACAGAGTCACAAGGTCTCGTATACAATCTACCAAGACTGCGCTCTGGTCGCTGTCGGTTGAAGTATGGACATCGCAAGCGAAATCAACCGAATGCCAATCAGATACCACATGCGACATTAACACGTTGCTGATCGAAGTCAAAAGCACAAGGTATATATCTGCAAGTGGGCCTGCTCAGTTCTCATCAGCCATACTGCCTCATCATGTACATCAAGACTACTTCTCTCGCTACTGTAGGCGTTCTTGCGTCGCAGGCTCTGGCTCTGGACAGTGGCTTTGGCCGAACACCGCCGATGGGTTTCAACACCTATAACCCTGCCGCTTGCACCATCAACCAGACTTATATTCGAGACACCATCAATGCTTTTTCAGACAAAGGCTTTGGCACTGCTGGCTACAACATCTTTGGACTTGATTGTGGCTGGCAAGGAACTCAGCGTCAAGGCAATGGTTCGATCACTTATGATGCCAGAGCATTCCCCGACGGCATCCTTCCTTTGAGCAAACTTGCAAACAGCAAAGGCTTTGTGAGCTACACCAGTCACACAACAAGTGAAAACAACTTGGCTGACAGAAACTCCATCAGAAANTGGGGCATGTACACCGATCAAGGTGTCAAAGCCTGCGACACTGGAGTCGACCGACCAGGCTCTCTGAACCACGAAAAGCAAGACGCACTGCAACTCGCCGGCTGGAATGTTGCATACATGAAGGTCGACAACTGCTGGATCACTGCGGACTCCAATGCACCCAAGGACGCCAGAACAGACTTCCCGTCTCGATTCGGAGCTTTCTCGTCTGCTCTTCAACAAGTTGGCATCAAGGGCATGTTGACCTGCCAATGGGGTGTTCCATACTCGAGCCCCAGCGGCCTGCAGGGTCCTGCCGAGTGGACGCCGTCAGTGTCAACCTCTTTCCGTGTCAGCGACGACATTACCGCAGGCTGGGCAAGCGTCTCTCGTATCTACAACGAGGCGATCAACGTCAACTTGAGAGGCTTGAATGGCCCCGGCCACTTCTCCGACATGGACTTGCTCGAAGTGGGTCAATCTGGCATGACTACCGATGAACAGGCCACCCACTTTGCCATCTGGGCCATGTTCAAGAGTCCCTTGATGATCTCGACAAGTATCGGAAGCATGTCAAGCTCCACTCAAGCAATTTTGCAGAACAAGGGCTTGATTGCCGTCAATCAAGATACTCTGGGCAAGCCAGTGGTTCTTACTCAACGCTTTTCGGGGAACAACGATCAGTTTGCAGGTCCGCTTGCCAACGGCGATGTAGCTGTGCTTCTTGTCGACTTGACAAACACCAAGCGCAGTCTCGGCATTTACTTTTCCGCCCTCAACATCTCTTCTGCCACCGTCACTGATCTCTGGACTGGCAAGACCGTGTCAGGCGCCAACAACTACTTTACCACTGTCAACGGCCATGGCTCTGTCGCTCTCCGCTTGAGCAATATCGTCAAATCCACACCCGCAGCACCATCACTCAAGTACTACGAAGCCGAAGCAGGCAAGCTCGCTGGCAGCGCAGCAATCGCATCCTGCTCCGCCTGTTCCGGCGGCAAGAAAGTCGGCTCCGTGGGTAATGGCGCTGGCAACACTCTCACCTTTACCGGTGTCCGCACAAGCCAAGCCACCCAAGATGTTCGCTTCGACTACGTTGACTGCGAGATCGGGTATGCCTTTGGCGGAGGCTATGGCAATGTCAGAGGAGCAAGTATCAGTGTCAATGGTGGTGCTGCGCAATCCGTGAGTTTCCCTTTGACGGGTTACAACTGGGATAAAGATGTCACCAAGGGATTTTTGGTTAGATTGTCTGGGTTCAAGACAGATGGTGACAATACTGTCACGATTTCTGGGCAGTCGAGTATCTCGCCGTATGCTCCGGACTTTGATAGGATTGGTGTTGTGGCATGATCTGAGAGGGCTTGATCGAGTGGTAGTCGGAGTCTGTCGTTCACTTGTTCTCTCTCGATGCGAACGTCTGATTCATAGGTACCATAGCTTCGGAATCAGGATTTTCAAGAGATCTTCCGCCATCAAGGTTTAGGCTTCGTTTGTGACGGCAGAGTGTGCTCTTGAAAATGTTGACCTGACGGGCGAGACCAGAAAGATCAAGCTGACAAGCCTCCAAAGGCTTGACCCTGCAAGACGGAGAATAAACAGAGTTTACGTCAGGCAGAACGACGTTCAAGGACGCTCATCTTGGTTTGCTCCCATGATCTGTGTGGACATCCGGAGCGGCTCTGCAGCCCAGTCTTGCAGAAGCTGAGGTATGTCTCTTCTTCTCGCGTGCGGCGAGTGATGGGTAGAGGGAAGGAAGATTGAGTAGGCGCGTGGTGAGGATGTGTGGCGGGGTTGCCGATCTCGGAGCTGGAGCCCGACGCTCATCTCTGAGAAGTTTGTCATGTTTCCATCTTCTTCTTGCGCACGTCAGCAACAGCCTCTTGTCAACCTTGATGGAGATACTTGTAAACATGTATACACTATTTTGGATCAGGGCTGGCTGCGATGCTGGACCTTTACAGACACCAAGCCTTTTTGCAGCTGTTCCAAGGTCTTCCGGGCCTTCTCGAACCTGAACGTCAGGCGTGTCGGACTCAAATCGCGACTCCCAGATAAGCTTCTCGGGATTGCAATTGATGTGGGCGCCATGCTGACGGACTGCGTTCATAACCTGGCAATCCTCAAGCCGCAGTCCTGCTTGCGACTCTGTCAGCCCGAGACAACTCCTTGTATCTGGAGTCTGGAATACATATTGCAAGGAAGTCCATTGACAGACACAGCTGTAAGCTCATAGCTGGTGATGGATACCCAAATAGCGTGCGTGAGTACTGGAACGATGCAAGTCTATAAGAGTAGGTCCTGGGACCTCACAAAGAGCAACATACCAGCCTTTCTTTTCTGGAATCATCCTATTCTACCTTCACACATCAATTCCTTCCCCAAATTTCACAATTGCAAGATGCACACCTCTACCGCTCTCGTTCTCTCTCTTCTCGCTGTATCTGTTTCGGCAGCACCTCCACATCTCGAAGCCCGCAAGGGTGCTGCTCCAGTCGGCGGCCCCGCCTCGGCGAAGGTGACGATTTATAGCAGCTATACCTGTGCTGCACCGGGCACTGTAAGGCATACCATTCAAGCACGCACACACGCACCCCACTGATTGTCCAACCAGACCCCACCAACAGATGGCAGCGCAGGAACCGCAACGTCCTTCACAATCGCAGAGGGTACATGCACAATACCCACTTTCGGCCTGGCTTTCGGAGGAGCGATCACAGCGACACTGGTTACAACACCGAAGACTGGTACTGTTGGATGTGAGTACCTCTGTCACTGTTTACAGATGCATTGCTGATCCGACATAGGTTATATTCTTGGACACAGTCAACAGGGCTGCGGTATCACGCTGACCAACAATCTCTATGGTTGGCCATTTAATGGCATTGCTGTTGGCAATAGTGTTGGGTGTGGCAACGCACCGGCGGGCACCGCTTGGGGTGCTTTCGAGGTCCTGTGTGTTTGAGCTAGATGTATTGAACAATCGAGATCGCAATCTTCTTCCTGCAGGACGACTTTGGCACGTGTTCGAGGGTCTTGTAGTGACTGCCCTGTGATGAAAATGCCTGAGACTGACTTGATGTTTTTGTAGACATTGTGTGCACTACGGCATTGCCGAGACCCTATTATCTTTGACGAACGCTTCTAGGTTCTCGAAGGCCTGCCACGCGTAAAGTTGCATTGAATGGTCTTTCAAGCCTATATAGAGCCCGTGATGTTGTTTATCTAGCATTACTGTCGGCGGAACCCGAATAAACGTCGCCCAAAGCACGACACTGTATAACGTGTGTAGCAGATATATGCCACATGTGGTTAGTCGACCGGTTTGCTGTTACATGGAAATTCTCGGGGTGAATCCTGCCAAACGGTTAGATTTTCAGCTTGTTCCTCGCCAACGTCGAAGGATTCAGAAATTGAGCCATGTTCCTTGGCGCGAATACTTCTGGATTTATGCTGTTGCGTCCAGACACCCAAAGATGGTTTGCATATCAAGTCTAAGCTTCGGTATTGAATGGCACATCACAAATATCAACCTCCAATTTCGCAGTATCGTCGTGATGAAGCGCTTGCCAGATCGATCATGGTGGTTCTTGCTGACTTCCATGACTTGAAGAGTTGCCAGCAGAAGGATAGAACAGAACGGCCACTGGGTAGGGTTTCATAACAGTCGAGGGCCTGGACTGGTAAAGGCCACTTGAGCATTGTTGAATGAAACGCAGCGGCTTTAGTAGCGTCCTACGTTTTGCCAAGACTCGCCTATGGTCCACGACTTGCCTCACTGCAGCGGATTGGCATGAGTCAGGAAATCGTTATAGAAGACTGTTGACTTCGGCCACCCCGAGACTTATCGGTCTGGCAGTAGATCCAACATCGTCCCGCTAAACATTCATTGTATCCTGGATCTGCTTCCTTCTGGATAATTATAAGAGCAGCGATTCCGTAGCTGCGATCGTGAGTAGGTTGATGCATTAAGACCTCATCTTGTCCTTGACACCATGCTTTCCAGGGATTTCCGTTCGTTCCAGACGTTCTTTTTGCTGCTTGTATTCGTTCTGAGTGCGAGATCATCTCCAGTGGTCAGCAAACAAGAGACGTCCCAATGCTCAGCAAGAGACATTGCGATCGTTCGCCGTACAGTGCTTGGCGAATCGTACTTCTGCAAGTGGTGGTTATCCGAGTAAGATCTGCTACTGATATCCTACTTTGCTGATGACAACTGACGTCCACCAGTGCTCGGACCCGGTCGCCTTTCTTGGAGTTCACCCCAGCTCAGGTCGACAAGCTCTGCAAATGTATCGTAAATGCTTCTTCAAAGTCCAAACGTGAGGATACTTTCATACATGAGTCCATTCTCGAGAAGAGACAGACGAAAGCTGCATGCAGCGCCGAAGTTAGCATCCAGTTTACTCAACCTTGGCGCTTCTGCAAGTTCTACAATGCCTAGTATGTCATCCTATCGTGGCAATGAGTCACTTCCAGCTGATGAGTTGATAGCCCTAGAACCACTTCTCCCTTTGCGAAATATTCTGCCAGGCAACTCGTCGCACTCTGCGACTGTGCAAATGATCAGACAACATCTTCCACGAAGAAATCTTCTTCATCCATTCGCAAACCTACGTCCTCCTCAAAAACGTCGTCTACTTCCAAGGGTTTGTCAACCACAAAGACATCGTCAACACAGCGACCCACCTCAATCAAAAAGTCATCATCGACCCAGAAGACAACTAGCAGTCTGGTCAAACCGTCATCGCAGACATCGTCTAGATCTTCATCAAAGACATCGTCTGGATTCTCATCAAAGACGTCGTCTATGAGCAAGAGTACATCTAGTTCAGTCAAGCAAGTCATCAGCTCGTCATCAAAGTCATCGTCGACGAGCAAGATTAGCACTACCACGAGTAAGCCTGTCTCAAAGACCTCTGCATTGAACACCATCGTCAGCATTCCGGATAGTCTTTCGCTCAAGCCTTCATCCACATCCTTGTCAACACTCAGTAAAAGTGTCAGCAGCTCCGCCAGTTCGGTTTCGAAAAGTCTGTCCTCGAGCAAGGTTGTCAGCAGTTCCATCCAAACGACCTCATCCGCGAAGGCTTCAACCAGCTCAAGTGTTCCATTCTGCTTGGCTCAATCCACGCTCCTCGCAAGCATCCCCGGGCAGATTGATCAAGCCTCAGAGTACTGTTCATCACTTTTGAGACCCGTTGTCACAGCTGTAGCAACCACGACCGAGGTTGTTAGCACTACACTGCCCACGATTCGAAGCACCGCGATCGTGATTCTTGACTCCTCGGTCGCAGAGACTGCTACGTCGACTTACGTTGAGACTGAGACCGTGGTCGTTTCCGTCACGGCCGAAAGCACAGCGACTCACACCAGCGAGATATCTGATTACGTCGAGACCACCAACATTGGCACATTGCTTCTTGTAACCATCACAGAATATCAGACATCGACGGTGCTGGCCGCCCGAGACGTCGGTCCATCCTCAATTCCCGAACCAGAAGCTTGGTCCAAACTGTCACCTTCTCAAATGACACAGGCTTGCGACTGCATTTTGCAGAAGGCCGCTCTGAAGCCCACCACCGTATACAGATCTACTGAGGTCCAGACTCGAACTACAACCATCATGACCGATATCGTTGCGACGAGCACTCAGATTAATGCAGTCACTTCATTCGTCACTCGGATTCATACTACTATCCTTCCTCTCAACCTGACTTCGACGGTGTCTACTGCTGTCTCGGACTACACAGTCATCAAGACACTGAACGCTACCTCTACGACTTCTCTAGACTCACTCGGTACCACGACACAATATACCACAGCGCTCACGACATACAGCTCAATTCACGTTCTCGCACCGACTGCGCCAGGTGTTCCTGCTATCGCCCTTGCACAACCTACTGCTATCGTTGGCGATGTGAATGGCGCGCCATACGATGTTGACGATAACTCCTATGCGGTAGTGCTGCCTGTAGATATCACGCTCTTTGGCGAGTCCGGCGTAAATGTTCAGCTCAGCGTCAATGGATTCATCAACCTAGGAAGCGTCACTGCTTATGGCTTCTATGAGGATCTGTACATCTACAAGGGTACTCAACAAGGCATCTACTACGAAGTGAGCGGCTCCGCGCCTCACCGACAAACGGTTTTCGAGTTCTACGTCAGCAGCTATGGGGACTCGACACAATACTATCACTTCTTGATGAAGTTCGCTGAAGACAAGCCCAACATCGTCACCTACCAATATTTGAGTGTCAGCGATAAAGGCCAGTACGCCGCTGTTGGTGTGCGAAGTACTAACTGTAAGTCTATGCACTGTGCGCGAGCTCTGCTTTTCTCACTAACATGNAATTCAGTGAACCAGGCTACAATGCTCTCAAGTCCTCAGGGCATGATTTGTCCTGGATTACAACTCACCTTCGATACTACCCCTGGTCAGAGCTCATACAACATTGACAGCCCCGGTAGCTGCACCTGAACAGTGACACTTTGACGCTAATGACTGGTACTAAAGGCTGTATCTCGATGCCCGGTAGCAATTTTTCTTTGTTGAGCTTATAACATGATCTAATGCCATGAAGACCTTGTTCTCGTTCTATTCGTCCAAATCTATCAGAATGTGGGAAGATCCGTCCTTGTCATTCCTAGAGCTTTGATCTGATTACTTGTTTCGAGTCTCGACATTTTCGTCACCTTATAGTGATTTGACTATATGATTAAGGGTTGACTGTTGACAAGCGATATCATTCAATGTGAGCTCGAAATTGCCTCACTGATCAGAAGTGCTACCAAGTCAAAGGGCGGATCAGCTACTCTAGACGAGAATAACAAGACACTGGAAGGAAAGTTTCTCCTGCTGAATGATCGCATAAAAAAAGCTGAGGAGGTTTGAAGTGAAATTTACACGAAAGATACAAGATTCTGTTGTACAAACAAGTCGAAACAGTATTGTATAGACGAAGCCTCGTATTCGTATCGATTGGTTGTCCAAGCCAGGCTGGATTTCATCACAAGTCTCCTTAGACTAAGATGAAGCCGAATTGCGCTGGCGGGCTTCCTCCCAAAGATCATATCCAGAGGGGAACTTCTGCTCTCTGTCGTCAAGAATGCCAAAGCCCTTGTATACTGCGTCGTCCGGGAAGCGCTTGGACAGGGCAGGGTTGTCGTAGGGAATGGCTGGTACAACGTGCTCACGAAATCCTTCCAGAGCAACGCGACGGTGCAGGATTTTCCACACATCGTTTCTCTTTTCAAAAACGTCGAGATAGCGTCCTTCAATCTGCTGGTCCACAGTACGCTTGTCGTCGAGAGGAATACGGTGAACCACGTACCACTGGCACTCTACAAAAGCGCGGTCGCCCTGAAGATCGATGATAGGATTGGTGATGGAGTGTTGAGAATTGGGCAGCTCGCGCAGATGAGGTATGACCCAGTCGGCGAGGTCGTGAGCGTTGCCGTTGAAGAACCAGTGGTAGTCGGTGCCATCAGGGTGGTAGCAGGATTTGAACAGCTCAATGTCGCAGCGATCGGCACCGCGAGCGTATTTGTATAGAACAGCATGGATGGATTCGCGAGCTTCTAGCTTGGCAAGCCTTTGCTCTAGGCTTTGAATGACTTGTTCAGCGGAAGTAGCCATAATGAAGATATGATTTGTGGATCCGACTGGAATGAGAATGTAGAGTGTTGATCGTGATTCATCTTTGGGGGGTGATGCGTGAGCTATATATTCACCTACAGACTCCCGAAATGTAGAAGACAATGTGAAATTCGTAGTAGTCATGCTTGCCCCGAGAAGATGTTGGTACCTAAAAGTCCAAAACTCCGAAAATCCGGAGATCCGAGCGCAACCTGACGAAGAGTCGCTTTCACGTTCCGATATCCCGTTTCCGCGTTCGGAATGACCGAAATTCCGATCGCTTGGCGCTTGTCTTTGGTTCACCTGACAGAAGATAGCGGATATCGATTCGTGCACCTGTGACATTCGACACCTTGGGCTGGAACCCGAGCCTTCCTCCTCGCTCACAAGATATGAGCCAGCGTGACTCTGAGTTGAATCGCACTGCTGGGATCCGACGGAAAAAACGTGGCAAATATGGTCCGCGGTCGTGTACGCACTGCCGAAGCTCCAAAAGCAAATGCGCAGGCGGATTCCCATGCAGTCGATGTGTCTCACGAAGCCTTCGATGTGATCTTTCGAACATCATCGTTGATGCCCGTCCTTCGCTTCCTCCGGCCTCATCGATCACCGAGCCTGGGACCACTACTAGCAAGGCTGTTACCTCGAACATACTCCGACGTTTGGCAGAGCTGAGTGGCAACATGGCCACGTTAGCTCGTGACGCACAAGTGGCCTTCAGCTCAAATTCCATCTCTCCGTTGGGCCAAATTCCGGATGGTGTACAAACAATTCAGAGTCCAGATCCCGAAACGTCTGGAGGCCTATCGCTTGTAGATGCGGACCATCTGAATCCGACCGAACAATATGTGAGGAAAGATTGTTGGGATTGGCTTCAGGGGTCTTTACCCTCATTTGGTAGCGATGCCGATCAATCACATTGGCGGCACTTTCTGCAGGCCTACTTCAGCGAACTGCACGTCCTGTTCCCAATGCTGCATCCACCCAATATCTGGCGAACGTTTGAAGGTATATGGTCTGGCCAGTTCTCGGGTCTTTCTTTGGATCCTCAATGCAGTGGAGAAAACAAGATTACCTTGGGCATCGTATTCGTATGTATGGCTCTTGGTCGATGCTCCCTGTCACCTCGCGTCCACCATATCGACGATCGCCATTCATCAGGATGGAGTTTGTACAGCATTGGTGCTTATTTACTTCACGACTGCTTGGACTTGTCGCGAGTGCCTCGAAAGGCGACCCTTGCGGAAGTCCATGCACTATTACTCNNATTGTAAGTGCCTGACGTTGTTCACTCACGTAGTATGATTGACTCTCAGCAGGCCGTGTACTTTATGAGACTAAACGTCAACGAAAGAGCTCATTCTTTATTAGCGCAAGCCAATACTCGAGCACATGTATTGGGCATCCACAAGCAGACCCAACCTGATAGCATGACCTTCTTCGATAAGGAGTTGAGGATTCGTACACGGCTATGTCTTTACGTGATAGACCGTTCGCTGACCTTCGAAACTGGACTCTCCTACATTGTGCAAGGCAAAATTAGCACAACAAGGGGTCCTCATTGGCTTTCTGATGAGTTTCTCGAATCGATACGCGAAAGTAACAAGCCAAGTTCACACTTGAGAGCAGAGGTCGAGCTCGAGATTGGGAGATCTCACCCTACGATGATGCCATATTTGACACAGAGCGTAGCTCTCGCCGAGCTGGTCGGGGACATCTGGGATTGCTATGACGGATTCTTGTTCGAACGATCAAACCGTCGTGTGGAAAATATGGACGAGCTATTGGAAAGGCGACTCCAAGAAATGAGAGCCTCCTTGTCCTCCTCTCTGCACTTCCCATCTACGGTTCAGTTCGAAGACATGGAATGGTGGCAGATCAAGCAACATACACTAATTCACATGGTAAGCCGACAAGCAAGCGACTGAGGTAGCTGGGACAGTGGCTGACAATCGTAACTCGCGTAGAGTCTTGACGTTATTGGTTGCCTGGCTTATAATCCAGGTAACAGATCAGATGCAGAGTTCACCGTGGAAAGCTCCTCCAGGGAGTCAGATACCTTGAGCGCTCAGCGTGCTCTAAGAGTAATCCAAACCTTCGATCGAGTCCCATCGGAACACCCCAAATTTTGCCTTCCATTCCTGTGGTATCTGAGCAGCTCGGCGATTGTATTGCTAAGCTTGGCTTTTAGACATCCGCACCTGCGCGCGGATTACTCTTCTGAAATAAGGTCTGCCTTGGCCAGTCTTCGCCAGTGTGTCTCTAGCACATGGGTCAGCGGCAGGACTATCAGAATGCTTTCTCGACTGTTTGTGATTGCAAGAGAACTTGGTATTGACTCGAGCACATCATCACCTTTGATCTTCGAAACGAGAGCACCAGATCTTACAGTCATATCTTCTGCTTTGACTCGCCCCACATCGGGGATTCTTTGCGAGGGGCTTTTTCGCAACGCTTTTGCGCTGGGCGGCCCCGAAATCCAGGGACCACATGGACAAGAAGCACCGAGCTTGCAGTCTGAAATGAGTACTGATGGTACGAACTCCAGCCCCCACGTCGCAAACCTGCCTCCAGAGACATCAATGGACCATGGAACGCAACAGGAACTGCTGAGTGAGCATAATAGACCTCTGTCTGAGAACATCGGTCCATTTACTTGCCCCGAGTCATCGAATTATCTTCGTTCCCCTCTCTTGTGGTCATCCGCGCTTGCTCTCGACGTGTTCGAACCTCTCGACTGGTTCTCAGAAGACTCTATGACATAGACTTCGTCGAGGCATGCGCAGTCTGATGAGATAGCAAATACAAAGATTCACGTCTTCGTTCTGTCCGGGATATGCACCCGTCAAGCCAGTCCTTCGCAGCCGCTCCAAGATCTTTGAGCGTCGCCAAGGACGTCTATCGAATTATCTGCTTGACTCACAGAGAACACCCACTTTGCTATACACCTAAGCGATCTACCAGCCTTCGTACATGGCACCAATGAGCTTCTCCTTATACCAGGTGGCTAGATGGAAGTGGTGACTCTCAAGTAGTGCATCCTGTCGAAGCCATCATTCTCCATTGCGCCGCCTTGTTTTGGCTTTTCGGTATCGCCAACGGAAGCCTTCCGCAGTCTCCGAGGGGTGAGGGAGTCGATCTTGAAGAGGCCCTGTTTACTCTTCTACACTTCAGAACCCTTGCGTTGGGCTTCTGCCTTGCCCAATGCTCAAACCAAGATACGAATTTTGGAGCTACGACGGATTCTCGATCTTCCACCACTATACTGGTCTCTTTGATCGCCTACTCACTTATTTCTATCATATGCACATTGTTGATGACTTTCTTTCCTGTTGATCAACAAGACGTTGACTGCTTATACTTTAAGGTTTGCACTACGAGTACCCCGCTGGAGCAGGGGAAGTAAGAGTGTGGGGTGGGGTATAGCTTATATCATGGTAGTGTGACTTACAGAGATATAATCTCTCTCCATGACATACCGCATATGCGGAATCATACCGCAAACATACCAGCAAACCATCAAAGTATGATATTGAGTTTGTGTGCCGGCATTGCTTGATGATATCTCGGGTTTTCAAGCGGCACGTTCAAGCGTCTATAATTACCTGGACATTTCTCGACCATATGAATGAGCATCGTACAACAACTAAATCTTGTATTTCCTTCGCTGTTGAGAACTTTGAGCTTATTGAACAACGTCACTCAAGGACCAATATGGACGACCTCGACGAGTACAAGGGCCGTGAGGAAACGCTTGAAAGAGTGCGTACAGCGGGAACCATTTCCATGTCACCAGAGCTGTTCGAGAAGCTCTATCTCGCACCGCAAACAAACGTGTCAGGCGATTTGAGGAAGACAATTGGTAATCCTACGCCNCTTGTAGGTCGGACACGGTACATTCAATGCGTTGCACCTACTCACTGTCTTGACAGGGGACTTGTTGGCTTCGTCCTTGGTCTGACTCCTTTGGCCTGCTGCTTGATGGGCTGGCGAGGCGCTGGAGGTCTTGGTGCTGCAAACATGTGAGTTCCTTCTTTACCTTATGAGGACTGCTTCACAAGCCTGACATGGACATAGNNTGGAGTATACTTCTTCATTGGTGGACCACTCTTGATGATCAGTGGCCTAATGGAATTTGTCCTTGGTAACACCTTTCCATTTATTGTATTCGTCACCTACGGTGGAGTATTCTTCGCTCTTGGAGCCTCACTACAGCCATTCTACAATGCTGCTGGCGCCTACTCTCCTACTGGCAGTCATGCAGACGGCCTTACCAGACCCGAATTCAATGCAAGTCTAGGTATTGTCACTGACTCTATAGACATTTGTACACGAACTGACGAAAACATAGCGTTCTTCCCGGTCGCAGTCGCTTGCCTCAACATCATCTTCATGATTGCGGCAACTCGCATCAACGCAGTCTTTCTCTTGATCTTTATCAGTGCTGGTCTCGGGTTCTTCCTGCTCGCTTCTGCGCTATGGTCTGCAGCCGAGGGCGAAGCTCGTGCAGCNCAGTCTCTTAGTCGTGAGTATCACACAACAGCTGGCCCAAAGCAAAAGTCGCTAACCCCATGGATGCAACAGGGCACAGGAGCATCCTGGTTCTTTGCTGCGATATGCGGATGGTATCTCCTACTCATCCAGATCTTGGCTATCATGGGCTTCACCATCAAATTGCCCGTGGGAGACTTTGCAGGCTTGTGGAATCGCAAGAAACAGAAGCGGGATGAAGACCTCGAATCGTAAGGGTCTTTCTTACCATGGTCTTGGCTGTGCGAGCAATTGCTCAGCGTACTGCCTTCAATCACTCGAACCAGAATACCAGAACAAGTACACTTGTAAAGACATATCCAATCAAGAATTCGTAAATACATGACTCTCGATCTAACCTTCTAACCATACAACTTGGTCACCACAAGACTCCCTTGCCAGATGCTCCCCCACCACCAAATTCATGAAATCATATGTGTCATTAGCCCTGAAGCTCCTACTGCTTCTGCACACACTGGTTCATCGTGCAGAAGGCACCAGCATAGACGCAAGCCTCTCCCGCACCGCAGTCAGCAGAAGACGAGCAGATATGATCGTAGTCGTTACAGCTGGGCAGAGAAGCACAAACGGGATCGGAGTAGTCAACTTGACCACCCACAACCGTGTTGGAAATGCTCCTCGACCGCCAGCACATCCCTGGCGATCGCCGCTGTGACATTCGGAGGATGGGTCTGGGGCGGAGGTGTAGACCTTGACGGTCTCGACAGCAGCGGTAACGGTGGTCGCGGTGATGCCGGCACAGGAACAAGCGGATGCATAACGAGATGCAGCAGATCCGCATGGTTTGGATGCATAAGCTGGGACCATGGTTTGTTGGACAAGAGTTTCGGTCGGGCCAGCGGGGAAGACAGTCGAGTCTCCGAAGTAGTAGTTGTAGTAGGTAACAGTCCTTGGCTCATATGAGCTACCACCTCTGCCTCAAGAACGTTCTAATCATTTACTCAGCGGCAGGGTAGGTCGTGGCAGTTTGGTAGCTGGAGCAACCGCTCTGGCGTACGCTGAGGGCTGGCTGGGCTGCAGTGCCGGTGACAGCGCGTGCACAGTTGTCCTTTGAGATAGCAAGAGTCAGTGGGCTTTTCGCAATAGTTGCACGAGAGGAAGAAGCCATACAGCGTTGCAAGCGGGTCTTGCGATGGCAGCACTAGCACCGGAAAGCGCAGCGATAACGAACTGGATGAATCTCATGATGACGAAGGTCTGGAGTGATAGTGCTGCGAAAATTGGTTACGATGACTTGGTCTGTCAACATGGAGGGCCATGGGTGAGGTATTTATGTTTTTGAGATCGCATGCTTCCAAGGTTGTCGAGCTGAATGACCCAACACCATACGAGTGCCTCGTTACTCGGCTTCGATCTTGATGCTCAGCTTGGATGTCTAAGTCTGGATCCTATGATGAACTCCGCAGATGGCTGGCTGAAGGGTTGCGAGAGCTGTTGTCCTCATGCCAAGAGTCCTGCAGGAGACCAAGGTTTGCGAGAAGGAGAGGAGATGGCGGAGATGAGCCACAATTGAGCTCCATCGAGCATTGGCAGCTGAATGAGGCTTTGAAGCACCTATAACCAAAAGCAGGATAGACGCTCTGCTCATTGGTCGTCCCGGTCAGGCTGGCTGGCCTCGCTGCGTCTGTCAGCATATTGTGGTTGACGGCATCGCCATATACCAAGCACGCTCAAGCTCCTACAGACTGGATGCGCTGAGGGATGGTCCCATGTTCGTAAGCTTTATTGATATACTACAGCCATAGAATGCGCCGAGTGCTGAATACGAAGTTAGGCGTCCACAGATCTTGTATATATCGTGAGCTGTGCGGGGTAGTTCCTGCGTGTGGCTTGCACGTGGGGAAAGGTTCCCGGATCTTAAGTTAGCTTATTCATCAAGGCAGAGCTTCGAGGCCGTCCAACTGCAGCTGCAAAGCTCAAATCGTAAGCCCGCTTGTTCAATGACTCTTTGACGCGGCGAGGTACTACAATGTTGCTCCAACTCTAGCACTAACTCACCAGGACGACCATAAAGATACCTATCACTACGATACGGACGTTGAATACTTCTCTATCAACCAAGACGCTAGGAGCTCTGTAACACGAACAGAAGCTACTAGTCGAGGTCCAGGTCGATGGCAAGAAATGTAAGTCAAGAAGTAAACACCTCAAGGGCCTGCATTGTCGAAGAACATTGCAGTGGATATCTTAAGATCGGTGTATAGATAAAGAGCTAAAGCACGAGATTGTGGATCTGTGCTGACCATCTGGCTCTTGTACCAGTTGCTTAGTATTGTATAAAATGTTGCCTCTCGCGATCGGCCAGGGCAAAGCGTAGTGGCACCTTATTGAGCAAAGCGAGTCGATTCAGTAGCGATATCTGTAGAGTTTCTTGGTACGATTTTATTGTCTCTTCTATCACTGGACTATGTGAAGTCGCATGTCTTAGTGTAGGATATTGATGAGTTTTTGACGTGTCACGGTGATACCCGATATCTAATAACGATCTGAAGGTCTTCTGACCTGAGACGATCACTATCGGAAGCTGTAACTGAGATCAATTTCCAGTGCAAATTCTTTGGAAATTGGATACCGTTGGGATGATTATGGGTCAAGAACTCTCGCACCCTCCGATATTACATGATTATACGAAGACTGTCCGTGCCAACATTGATAGCTTTATATGCCAGAGATATATTCTGGCTGGCCCTTTACACGTCCAGGTTATCCAAAGGCTCAGTCTCTTTCGGCGGTGACAACACCTTGGGACCTTCAATCAACTTGATCTTCCTGCCTTCCCACCACGCCAATACTCCTGCAGCAAGACTGACGCCGCGAAACAGGGCTGGACCCTGACGCCCACTACACCGGTGCGATCCGGCTTAGGCTAGATAATTTTGCCTATTAGTGGCTCGGAGATTTTGCCTAACAGAGCGGTAAGATATAAACTCGTATTCATTGTAGAGTTGCTAAAGAAAACAAGACTTCAGAGACCAGTTCCAGGCACGCTTTGTCGTGGGGTTGGCACATCAACGTTTCATGTATCGGGGAACGCGCAATCCGTCCCTACTTGTACATAGAACTAAATTTCCTGCTTGTACTTTATCGGAAAATCCTCCTCACACAATCGCGGTCGAACTGTACTCGATAGCTCGACGTTCTCCTCCATTAGCAACGGTGATACGCTGGGCGAGAAGTCGCTCAACTAGAGAAACGTCGAATGAACTTTCGTTCTTACAACGCGACATGGTTCAGCGGGAATTATTATTGTGACAGATTGGAAAGCCATCGTCCTAGTCACCGAAGTCATCGAAGCTTTCATCCCTGGTACTTTAGGTGGTTGTCGATCGGTTTGCCAGCCATCCGCAGCAAGTAGTCTCTTCTTAAATAGTGAATCCTCCGTGCGTCTGAACTTGGACTCCCTTCGTGCCTCTTACTGCCAAAATGTCACCCTATTCGTTTTCACAACGCAAGCAATCACTTCCTATCGACAAACCCGCAGCTCTCTCTGCAGACGATGGCAGATTCGACGTTTTCATCAGTGCTTTAGCAGCATCGAAGCTGCAAACTCTACTTGCTGATGAGGACGAGAAGTCTTCGAAGGGCGCACAGCATGACACTACGCATACCAAGACCAAGTTCGCGAAACTCCACTGGCATCAGAAGCAACACAATTTCAAGCCCGTCACGGACGGGTTCGAGGGCTCACCACGAATGAATATCGCCATCCTTATCGTCGGAAGTAGAGGCGATGTTCAGCCATTTATCGCGCTTGGTCAAGTGCTCAAAGCCCCGCCGTACAACCATCGCGTCCGGATCTGTACACATCCGAATTTCAAAACCTTCGTGGAAGAGAACGGCCTCGAGTTTTTCTCGATTGGAGGTGATCCAGAGAAGCTCATGTCATATATGGTACGCAATCCGGGCGTTCTACCAACCAGGGCTTCTGTAAAGGCCGGCGACGTAGGCGCGCGACGTGCCGAGATTGCCGAAATGTTGGACGGCTGCTGGAGAGCGTGTACGGAGGCTGGCAACGGAGTCGATCCCATCAGTCTACCAGCCACCAAGCTCCTAAGCCTGGATACTATCACGTCACTGCCGGATCCGTTTATAGCTGATGCCATCATTAGCAACCCGCCAGCATATGCAAATATCCATATCGCAGAACGACTATCTGTACCATTGCACATGATGTTTACAATGCCCTGGAGTCCGACAACAGCATTCCCCCACCCTCTCACAAATGTCAAGTCAGGCAGCAGTAACAGGAAAATGGCCAACTATCTATCTTACTATAGTATGGAATTGCTAACCTCGGAAGGTCTCATCGACCTTGTAAACGATTTTAGAGAGAACACGCTCGCCTTGGATCCTATCCATGCGGCCTGGGGTCACCAACTACTTCCTCAACTGAAAGTCCCATTCACTTACTGCTGGTCGCCAGCCTTGATTCCGAAACCTCAGGATTGGGGCTCCCACATTACCATTAGTGGATTCNNTTTTTTTCTAGAGACGAAGTCGTCTTTTCAACCAGATGAAGCATTATCCGAATTCTTAGCAGCTGGACCACCACCCGTTTATATTGGTTTTGGTTCGATTGTGGTCGATGATCCGGACAATTTGACAAACATGATCTTGGAAGCTGTGCGATTGTCCGGAGGTAATTCATTTGTTCAATGCAGTTGATACCGCCAACGGATTAACATCTTTCCCNNAGTGCGCGCTCTCGTTTCCAAAGGTTGGGGCAACCTCGGAGGCAAAGACGTCCCAAAGAATGTGTTCTTGCTTGGCAATGTACCGCATGACTGGCTTTTCCCGCGATGTTCGGCAGTGGTACATCAGGGTGGTGCAGGCACTATGGCCATCGGTATAGCGCTAGGAAAACCGACAGTAGTGGTTCCTTTCTTTGGCGATCAACCATTCTGGGGAGAAATGGTTGCCCGAGCTGGTGCAGGCCCGTCACCAATTCGCTACAAAGACTTGACGGCGGAGAAGTTGGCAAGCCAAATTACCCAAGCGCTGGAACCACAAGTCCAAGATCGAGCAAAGGAGCTTAGCGATCGCATTCGAACCGAAACGGGCACTCAAACAGCAGCCGAGATGTTTCATGCTACGGAACAGATGCAGCATTTGAACTGCTTCCTAATCGCGGACAGAGTCGCCGTTTGGCGAGTGCGGCACACCAACATCCAACTCAGCGCACTGGGTGCCAGTATTCTCATTCATCACGGCAAGGTCGACTGGCGATGTCTCAAGCCTCTACGCAAGCATCGCTGGTATGTCGAGCAAGGAGCACAAGACCCACTCATTGGCGCTCTGGCCACGATAGGTTCGACCGCAGTTGGTTACAAGACTTGCGCTTCGAAGCTGAGCAGAGAAGTCAGGAGCTCAACCTCGGCTGCGAACGCGGACTCCAAGATTTTGATCGATGGGCAGAGTGCTCCTGCTGGTAGACGCAACGTGTTCAAAAGCATCGGCAAGTTTGGCGCCGGAGTAGGTGGCAAGACTCTGCTGTTCCCAATCGACCTCCTATACAACATCACGAACGGTTTCCACAACGCGCCCGCGACTTGGATGGGTGACCACACCGTCCGGATGAGGAATGAAATCACTGGCGTCAAGACAGGGTTGAAAGCTGGAGCCGAAGAAGTCTGCTTCGGAATCTACGACGCCGTAACCGGTGTGGTAACCCAACCGATCCATGGTTTCGAAGAACATGGTGCAGTCGGGCTTGTGAAAGGTGTAGGCCGTGGTATCGGAGGTCTTGTTTGCAGNAGTGTGGCTGGCGCCATAGGACTCCCAAGTTACGGCATGAAGGGTCTGGCGAAATCGGTGCGCAGAGGTTGGAAAGATAGCGACGCAGCGCCAGACGAGGAGGCCATCGCGTTCTTGAGACAGCTGGAACATCGCGATAGTGTCGGAGGTCAGGAAGCTTCTCTAGGACGTAAGCAGACTGTTGCTTTGTCCTATGTGAGCAAGGCTACTGGAAATGGGGTCATGCGCTTGATCATGAGGCGACGCGGATGGCAGAACCACACAGAGGTACTGCGGCTTCGAGAAGACCCTGAGAAGGCCGCGTCTGTCGAGCAGAATGTTTTGATGAAGTGGGAGAGCTTGAAAGTGCCAGCCAAGTTCTGTAGCAGTAGATAGTACCTAGCTGGATTTGTCGTTCGAAGATGACCCGAGTGTCAAACTGTTTGCGTACGAACCTGCCCTTACGTTAGTTGATGATGTTGAATTTCTCATTGATTCCATAGAGTGAGCGCTCACTGGCATGAATCTGATGACTATAGATAAGCTCGGGCAAACATCAAGAGACCATGCATCACGCTTGAGGTGTGCACATTACCAGCCGCGAAGCCAGAGTCTATGTGAGTCGAGGCTGATAGTATCGCCATTGCTCTCTCGTACATTCCAATGAAGTGTGTGATTTCCGGAAGGCCTCAAGCTTGCGCCATTTTTACCATCTCACAGTTTGCCAGAAACAGGGCTACAAACCGCCCGTGCTCGCGAGTATTGTCCAGAACCGCTCGTGGCTATGGTGACCAAGAGCGCACAAGGTAAAGTGCTTTCAACTAGACAGGTTATGACAACCGAGTGGTCTGCAAAGGGAGCACATTGACAAGGTAGTTCTGAAGCTCCTTCGCTGCACAAGACACCACAGGCGTCCGTCTGACAAGCTAGGTTTGTTAGATTCTTGAGCGATTGCACAGCGCTTTCTGTATACTCTGCCGAGAAGAATGATTCACTTACACATCCGCGCTGTCAAAACAATGAGTAGCCTATTCTTGACTCAAGTTAAGGATTCATCATCCTCAGGAACCACAAACACCACAGCAAAGAATCGCTGATCCCTCGCGTTTGGACCTCTGTGCTTTCACTCTGACCAGCTTCATTCTCCTCGATTAGTCTTGGTACGCGAGGTCTGTCTGAAGGTAGAAAGAGTATGACGAACTTCTGCTTGAAGATACTACATTTTCATCTTTCGCCCACTTTTAGATCGCTATCGGGACCATCCTCACTCCTAGCGGTTTCGAGATCGTACAGACATTGACAGATTCTGGTACTGATCTGTTCTACAACTCCATTGGCTTCTTCTTCCTAGTGAGACTCTTCGCATCACTATTGAAACTTGCAAAGCTGATTTGGATTTGTGATAGAGTTGGTTCATCTTCACTTTTATCCCTGTGATTTGTTCGTTGCGACCCACTCTGGCTTCCCTGCTGTTGTTCTCGATGCTTGATCTTGCCTTTCTTATGCTTGCTATCGCGTATCTGCTGGGAGAGGGCAATGGTGCGCCGAACACCGCTTGTCTACGTGCCGGTAGTGCCTTGGGCATTTTCTCTGCATTTGCTGCTTGGTATGTCGCTTGCGCTGCACTCCTCAGGGACACCATAAGCTATAATCGGCTTCCTGTGTTTCCCTTTACCTTGAGCACCACATACGGGAAAGAGAAACGAACAGGATCGCAAATATCAATGGTGGAATTCGGATTGATCATCAACGCATCAACTATATATACGTTGGAAAATCAGATACTCCACAAAACGTCCAGAGTTATCACACATACGCAACAACCTCGAACCTGGAAGAGATTTTGCCGTCATCGTCTCAACCCCTGTTTTCAGCGAACTCAGACTCCCTTCACATACTCGATATTTGTGGTCTCAATCTTGTCCTCAGAAGCCTTCTCATCCACAAGAGCGCCTACTTGAAAATCTCCGTGCGCACCCTCACCATCGAACACCACGGCAATCTCTTCTAAAGTGCGTCCTTTTGTCTCTGGGAAAACGAACCAGATAGTAGGAATCATAGCCGTAAGCGTGGCGATATAGACAAAGTAAAATTTCCACTGAATGGCCTCGAGAGCGATGGGGTTAACGTATTGATTGAAGAAGCCCAAGGCAAACACACTGGTTAGATTGGCAGACAGACCCTTGGAGCGGAGATGGAACGGAAGAATCTCGACAGGGTAGGCGATAGACAAAGGAGTAAAAGCGATATCGTAGAATCCAAAGAAGATGAAGAGGAAGGCTACTGTGGCGCCTCCTGCAGCTTTGATACCGTATTCGGCAAAAGTGGCGCTGAGAGCTGTGACGATGATGAAGGAGACTAGCATACCACTTGCTGAGAGCAGCCACAACGGACGACGACCGTAGCGTTCAGCAGCGAGGGCACCGGCAAAAGAGAGACCTGCATTCCAGAATTGAAGAGCAAGATTGATTCCGGCTTGTGTAACGGAGCTGGTGATTCCAACGCTCTTGAGAATGGGTGCGAGGTAGTATGATACGATGCCGTTGCCAGCCCACTGAATCATGAAGCCGACCAAGATACAGATGAGGAAGCGATGACGGTTTCCCTTGGTGTCGAAGAAAGTGGACCAGCCAGTCGTCTTGGAAGCCTGTCTTTCCAACTCGATGGTCTGGCAGATTTCCTGAAATTCATACTGCACAAGCTCGTCGTCAACGTCGCCATTTGCATGATACTTTGCCAGTATGGCCAGAGCTTCCTGATCGCGACCCTTGGAGATCAGGAACCTGGGTGACTCTGGAACGACAAGGAGACCGAGGCATTGAATGGCGGGAAACAAGCCCTGAAGGAGACAGGGGATGCGCCAACTCCAGCTGTTGTCGAGGAAGAGAGTACCAAGAGCGATACTGGCCGACAAGATGGCTCCCCAGTACCAAGTAGCCTGGAACAGGTTGGTAACATTGGCTCTATGTTTAGGGTGGGCAATTTCAGTGGTAAGGGGAGGTGCAGCTGTCTGGGAGAAGCCCAAGCCGACACCGAGCATGATACGAGTACCAAGGAAGGCGTAGATGCCGGAGGTCGCACACTGGATAATGGAAGCTGCCAACATGATGGAAGAGCCCAAGAAGACAGTGAAGCGGCGTCCCATGTAGTCACTGACATACGAGGCTGGGATGAAAGAAGGAAGACCACCGAGACTGATACCGGCAAGAGTCAAACCCAAGAGGCTCGAGCTGGGATCGCCAAGATTGTTGTTGAAGTAGGGAATGGCAAGCAATCCGTTGATGAGAGAGCCGTCATATCCATTGGCTGCAGCGGAGGCAAACATGGTAGCGATACCCAAATTGAGCTTGCGAAGACCAGGATCCTGGGTCCACTTGGAGTTGACATTGTTGCGTAGGGTCTTGTAGACCTCGCTACCACTAGCTGCAACGACTCCTGCTGGGCCACCCATTGTTCAGAGTGGAGATGGCAGATGGGTAAAGATGTCGGATTCAAGAGAGATAGCTGGTAATGGTCGAGAGCCGATTGATCTGCTTGAGGATGAGTCTGGGGTACTCTGGAGTTGGCGATCCATTCCCTTATATAAATCTGGAGCGATACATGTATACTGAAGCCATTCCAGTGGCGTGGAGACAGTACCGGCAAGACCGGCTGTTGAGTTGCAAGATGGTATCGTGATGGTGAGGGAAAAGGTGGAGTTCCCCGCGGTGTTGAATTTCGGGGCGGTGGCGGGGAACAAACACGACAAACTCTGCGAGAATTTTTGCGAGATTCGTTGCGAGCGACAATAGATGACCGCAGCCGTGGAAGAAGCAGGGGTTTTGAGTGCGAGAATCATGGCGAGAATCTTCACGGATGACTTTGCGAGAATCTTCGCTGGCGCCACGGACATCGTGCCCCTGGTCATCTGGTGCGGGCGTTCAATCTTCTGAGGTGGCGCTCAGCCATCATTGCGAAAATCTTTGCGAGAGTCTTTGCGATGTACCTGCCGACCCCACAAACATCCACTCCATAGAGCAACAGTAGGTACCACAGTACCAAGAATATTCCGTTCAGTCATGGACCAGAGCAGGTTGAAGACCCACACGACCACATCGGTTGTTCACCTCGGCTGTGTTGAATCGCAGTGTCTTGCTATGGTACTTAGAGGTAGATTATCCTCGGTTTCTGTGCTGCCATCAATCGCTCTGTTCTCACACACTCACTCTCTCTCTCTCTCTCTCTCTCTCTCTCTCTCTCTCTCTCTCTCTCTCTCTCTCTCTTTCTCTCTCTCTCTCTGTCTCTCTCTCTTTTTGACTTTTATTAAATACTCGCAGTCATGGCACTTTCGTCACACACTACGGAGACCGACAAAGTGCAAAGAGCATGGTGGAAAGAAGCCAGTGTCTACCAGATCTACCCATCTTCCTTCAAGGATTCGAATGGAGATGGCTTCGGTGACCTCGGCGGCGTCATCGAGAAACTGGACTACATCAAAGCCCTCGGAGTCGATATCGTCTGGTGTTGCCCCATCTACAAGAGCCCTCAAGTCGACATGGGCTACGATATCGCCGACTACAAAGACATTGATGCAAGATATGGAACTATGGAAGATGTAGACCACTTGATCGATGGCTTGCATCAACGAGGTCTTAAGTTCCTGATGGACCTAGTTGTCAATCATACCTCTGACCAACACGAGTGGTTCCAAGAGTCTCGATCGTCCAAAACCAACGCATACCGCGGCTGGTACATCTGGCGTGATCCAAAATACGACAGCAATGGCAACCCTCAGCCTCCCAACAACTGGAGCTCTTACTTCAGTGGTAGCGCTTGGGAGTATGATGAAGCCTCGGGTCAATATTATCTGCATCTCTTCGACAAGACACAGCCAGACCTCAACTGGGAATGTGATGCAATGCGAGCCGCAGTCTACGAAACCGTGCGTTGGTGGCTCGACAAAGGCGTCGACGGCTTCCGTCTCGATGTAATCAACTTCATCAGCAAAGACCAATCGTTCCCCAATGCCGCCATCACAGACCCAAATCAATCATATCATCATGGCTGCGAACACTACGCCAATGGACCTCGTATCCACGAGTACCTTCAAGAGTTGGGTGGTATATTGGACGAATACAATGCGTTCTCTGTTGGCGAGATGCCATGGGTCAGCGACCCCGAGGAGATTCTCAAGTGCGTGGGTTACGACAGAAAAGAGTTGAACATGATCTTCAACTTCGACATGGTGGACATGGACCACGGACCCGGTGGAAAGTTCAGCCCAAAGGACTGGCAAATGACAGATCTCAAGGATATCGTTTCGAAATGGCAGAGCTTCATGTACGGCAACGGTGGTTGGAATGCCCTCTACCTTGAGAATCACGATCAACCCAGAACGGTATCGCGATGGGCCTCCGACAGCCCCGAGCACCGAACCTTGGCGGCAAAGATGTTCGCTACGTTCTTGGGACTTCAGAGTGGTACTGTCTTCTTGTATCAAGGGCAGGAGCTCGGTATGACCAATATACCCGAACACTGGAACATGGACGAGTTCAGAGATCTGGAGACATTGAACCATTGGAACGAACTCTGCGAGGTCCGCCCACATGACAAGAACTTGCTGTCAATCACAAAACAACAGTACCATATCAAGTCACGAGACAATGCACGTACGCCCATGCAGTGGACAGCAGAGCGCCATGCAGGCTTCACCACAGGCGAGCCTTGGTTCCGCGTCAATGACACTTACAATGCTTGCAATGCCGAGTCGCAAGTTGGCGTACAGGGAAGTCCATTCGAGTACTGGAGAAGCATCCTCGGGTTGCGCAAACAAATGTTGGATGTCTTTGTGTATGGCAATTTCCAGATGGTGGATACTAAGCATGAAGACGTTTTTGCATACAAACGATCGTTCGGAGAGCAGGGTGTGCTAGTTGTTTGCAACTTCCGACAGTATGATGTGGACTGGAAAATGCCAGCAGTGGCCAACGCGAAAAACGTTCTCGTCTCTAACTATGGTGGCTTGGATGTGCATGAGGGACTTCTTAGGTTAAGGCCTTTCGAAGCCTTCGCCGTTGCACAAGGATCGTTAGTTTCTTTACCTCGTCTTTGATAGAACATATTGATACACATCATCAACGCAGGAAGTGGTCTCTTCATCAGTACTGATATCCATAGCCCCACCGCGTACAGTCTTGTCCCTCAGAGTCAATGGCCTCCGTTGAACAGATGTTCCGACGACGTGACCTGGTTGCAGTGGAAGAATGCCGCCGGTGGCAACGTCGGAAGCACTATGCATCGGATCCAGTACTCCATCGCTCATGATGGTACCAGTCATATCCTTGACCTACTGATGGGTGGCGTGAGTAAACGAAAACCAGAAGCAGCGAGCGTGATATCAAGCATGTTACAGAACTGATACAATGCCCCATTGTGGCCAGGAGAGGCGTTTCTCATGTCTACAGGCACGTGTAGCTCGCTGGATGGATGTCCAAACTTGACACGATACCTTGCATATGAGTCAGGATTGACGACCCCAGCCCTGCTCTTCGCGCATCTCGTGTTGCTTGTAGATGTTGACTATCCGGAAGACATTATCGCTCATACTTGAACGCTGTCTTTGCTTGGGGCCCTTCGTCTACTCCAGACCCCAATGNNCCGGAGTATCTTGACCGTGTTCGCGTAGGCCGAGCTCAACACAAACGCGCTGCGAATCCCAGAAGCCAAAACCAAAGCAATGAAATGTTTCCCAGTTCGAGTCTCGCAAGGGACTATCAGAACGTAGCCTGTAGACCCTAATGCGAGATAACTCGTTGTTCTCCTGCCGTAAGCGAAATGCCACTGCTCTTCGTACGACAGCGTCACCAGAAGACCAGGCAAAGGCAACCGCTGGACACCAAGAGAACCGTGGTGATCTCGGCAGTGGATCAAACGCCGAAGAGTCAGTGACCAGGGCAGTATCTTGGATTAAGTACGCCTGCAGGATGTCGTAAGAGTGAATGGCCGTCTTGTTTGGCTTGTCAGGTGGTTTTAATGTAGACCCAACAAACATACTCTGTACTATCTCGGCAGCCAGCTCCAGTGTTGACTCGCCTTGGAGGCCCAGAAATAATCGCTGGATCTCTGTGAAGCTTTCGACAGTATCCCGACCGGAAGTAGTTGTGTTCGGGACCGCTCGCCGACCCGCGGCCAACAGCCATAGAACACGAATGACGCGCGTCTCTTCGTCCCAACTCGGATCGCTGAGTGGGAAATGGATCTTCATGGAAACGCCTTGAGGTTCTTGATGGAGTGGACTGTGAGGACGCCTGTACCTGTATCTAGAGTCGGCCAGTTTTTCGAATTTGAAAGTGCTAAGATAATCGAGCTTGGAGCGGAGGACGGAAAAGTTAATATCGTGGAAACGGACTGCTTGCGCAACGGTATGGAAGACGGTCCAGACAGATATTTCTAGCCAAGGATCTGTCGTCGCGGCAGCAACGAAATTATCGATCACATTCTGGAGCTGTTCCATGGTAAGGGTCCGAGAAATGCCATTTGTTACAAGACGTTCTCGCAGTAGCATGTAGACCAGCACTGGAGAGGCGAGCTCATCAGGAAGACTCCGTGCCATGATCGTTCGGAAGACGCGTCTTGCATCTAGATGGGAAACGGCGTCGAGGTGCGGTGACGACAAGATTGCAGCGTAGAGAGCCTTGAGATCTGGTAGTTCCAGGAGAATGCGCAGAGTCAGTGGCATTGGCAATGCTGAAATCCAGGCATTGTGGGCTGTTGGAAGCAGCATCAAGGTGCTTTGTAGATGACCTTGGCTACTGAAAGTGGATGCATTGATGTATAAATGTAGGCTAGTGATAACTTGATTATGTAAGCAAGCCTTAGGAATGACATAGCAAAGCTCTAGGTCCAGAATCTTGTCTGATCAGCTGATATAGCATAGAGTCCATGGGTTGCACTACAGCCCGTCCGCAAGGAGTTTCATGGAGTTGTGTTTCCGGCGTTCAGCGGAGTAAACGTGAAGTTGAAACTGCAGTAGAACCCCGATCCTGTAGGTCATGTGAGCATGGCTTAACATCCGTAAGACTGTGCTACAAACAAATTGATATAATGCAGAGGCGAGCCCACCATCTGGATGCCTTGTTCTGGCTGCAATTAGTCAGGTATCATTGTCCAGAATATGGTGGGTGCGATTCTTATAATCACACCCTTCCATGTATTCCTTGTAATCCCCTCTAGAGCCATCTTTGCATGAAGATATCCGCTGTTCGAGTTGGAATAAGCCTAGTAAATCTACGACCGCGGTCAGTGAAGCTTAAAGTTCGAGCGTATATAGGGAGCACGGCCGTGATGTTGTGTTCGTCGTATGGCAGCGACTCAGACTGTACTATGACATCTCTGTTGGAGTTTTGCTCTGCGCAATGGCGGAGCAGAGAACACGTAAAGCGATGCGACGTGTGATATATTGTGAAGAGACACATAGTTTTATACAGCTTTCATCATTCAGACATGCGATGACACTTGCTGTCAACCTAAGTTGTTGTATGTGCTGTACTTGTGTTGTTATACTAATTGCACAAAATCTTGCATAAGCTTTTAGGAGTCGCTATATAGGTTCGGGACGGTCGGTTAGTGCGGCCACTCCGCCATTAGCCTTAAGATGGTATCAGAGGTGCATTCTAGCGTTTTACCTTTCTTGCCATTTAAGAATTTTGGCCGAGGCCTTACTACTTTATTATTACCGCTGTGTGTTTACTAACATATAGATAATTATCCTATATATAAATAAAGCAAACTTACTTAAAACCCGCCTAAGAGAAATAGTATTAGAACTAGTATAGCTATATATACTATAACTTAAAAATTTTAAAAAAGCTATAAGGCTATAGCGGTAGGATCTTAAAACTCTAAAAGGTAGAAAAGGCAGGATTAAAAGCATTTAATAAGTAGGATAGTAAGATAAAAAGGGTTTAATAGGTTGAAAAATATACAAATAACGGAGTGGCCGCACTAACCGACCGTCCTTGGCTTGAGTAATGTTAGTAACATGGCAATGAAGATATTGACCCCGCTTACCACTTACGTCTTCGTTTCGCGGAATTCGCACTTCTAAGTATGACTCGCAACATGATTTCTAGATAATGACGACTGGCGCATCTCGCTTCGTTAGCTATTGGTCGCTCGAGCATGGATTTGAGACGTGTTTGCGATGCGTGTTCAGTTCGGCGTGTCAAGTGCGACGGCCAAGCACCATGTGCTGCCTGCCTAAGGTCTTCGATTGAATGTACACGCTTGAGGCAGAGGATAAAGGCTGGTCCCAAAGGTGTACGGAAAAAGACGCTCGATCGACTGAAGACAGTCAGGAGGCAAACTACCGATGCCCGCGATGATGTACCCAGCGAGGCATCCGAGTATCGCGACGATGATCCCAGGCGTGATGGCCTAGAGGCCACTCCGACTTTTACAGGCCATCCTTCCTTTCCGATTCAAGACTTGTTCTCCCCAGAGCTAGGAATCAATTATACAGGACTATCTGATAACAGTCGGCGGCTGCCTCCAGACATGCCGCAAATACCGTCATGGCCATTCCGTATTAGTCCTGCTCTCTTGGAACCATATCTGGACATCTACTACTTCAAACTTTTCCCAGTCTGGCCAATTGTGAACAAGGCTCTGCTCACCGCAAGATTGCAGTCTGCTGGGCCTGATGTGACAGCATATATGCTGGCCAGTAGCGTCTGTGCAGCTACGATGGTTCAACTCCGACTTTCGGATTTCGGTCCTTGTGGCGATGTTCTCGAACCCAGCATGATGCTTACAGAGATCGAGGATCTTCGACGGACATACGACCATCGCGAGAATCCCAGTATCGACTACTTGGCGACGAGTTTCTTCATGCATGTCGCCTATACGAATCTGGGTCGCCTGACGACAAGCACACTTCTACTCAGGGAAGCCGTCACCCTTGCTTATATATTTGATCTACACAGGCCATCTCATTATGGCGAGGTCACACCCATGGAGAGACAAAGCCACCTACGCATGTTCTGGATTCTGTTCATTACCGAGAGAGCGCATGCCACACAACACGACATTCCCTGCGTCATGGCAGTCGACCCTGATATGCCAGAACTGGACGTTGAGAGTCAACCTGCTGTACTGTCCCCCTTGATCATGCTCTGCAGGATGTTCAGGTGTTTTTGCGAAGGCTCAAGTACCAGTCTGACAACAGACAGCCTAACATCCTTCAACAACCAACTGCTGAGGATACCGACCATGACAGAAGACCACAACGAGCTTCAACAAGCCGATCTCTCGGTCACGCAAAAATGGCTGCGACTCATGTTCTGGAAACTCGCTATCAACAAGGTCGTCATGAGTGCAAACTCCACAGACGACATTCGAAGCGTCTTCTTCCCCATCTCACTGGCCAAAGAGCTACTAACGAACATCTCTGCAATGTCCATCGATACGCTCGAAGCCCATGGCCCAGGAATGGAGCTTAAACTCTTCGAAGTCACAAACTCGGTTGCCGATATCATAACACTGAACTCTGTACAATCACACACCTCGACACTTGAATTCGGACCCCAAGATATTCTAATTCATCTTACGAACATCATTGGTAGATTCAGGGGTGGTAACAGAACATTGCTGCCAATACTGCAATCTCGACTTTCGGGTATTGGACTTGGATCTGCAGTTTTGCCACGGATAACGGATGTTACATATGACTCTCCAGACACTAATCGAGAAAAGAGCTCGATCGAGAGTAATGAAGCCATCATGGCTGGTCAGAGTCTTTGTGACGGCCAGTCAACTGGTTTCTTTGGTCCAGAGGCAGTCTATGATATCACTTCGACAGAGTTGTGAGTGAATCATGGTGACGAATGTATCGTTCAATCTCGCAGCACAAATTTGTGGTAAGAGGAGGGTTTTGAGATACTTCTCCGATCGCGCCTACCATTGCTAGTATGAACCGGTAGATGACTCCTCTCAAGGAGCATTTTACAGGATTTTCTGGCAGCCCCGTTCTACCTCCATCCACACATCACTCGCCTGCTAAAGACCTCCCAACTCTGACCGCTCGAGCCGAAGACGATGAACCGGTCGATGTGCGCTAGATATCGAACGAAGCTGCAGTAACAACCGCGAGGGGGATATTCAGAGACATCCTCGTTCTGGCCGGACCTACAAATCATATCCCAATCATGGCTACTTCCAACATTCAAAGCCCCAAGCAGAGGGGTGCCAAGCTGAGAGCTCGTGAGACCGTTCATGCTGTCCTTTACAAATAAGCTCGTGATACCGATCGGTGCGCCATAGAGCTGGTGGAGGTAATGACTGCGGTCGCGGAACTCGCGTTTGATGTGATCGGCTTCGGGAGGAAGGACGAGGAAACAAAACCAGCGGAGTCATTGAGGATGACCAACATGGGTCTCCGTTGTATCTGGTCGTTGCCGCGACGCTCAGCTCAGCGGGCACAACTTTGAACATCGACAGAGAGTGAGGACTCGGACTCGTGAGACTCGGCAATGCCATGAAGCGTTAGGCTACACCTGAGTCGCACACAGAGACGGCTGCTTCCCTTGTCAAACGATCCGAGACAGTCCAGTTGGAAAGAGACACGATCAGCTCTGGATAGAGAAAAATACAAGGAGAGTTGATTGAAGTCTGGCCTTCTGAGGACGTCATCTTGTTTCTGGACACTACTATGTGTTTTTACAGCTCAGAGGTGGCGTGCTGCTGCTGCCAGAAGAATTTATGGCAGGCTAGTACTTGTAGGGACATAACCCCTGGTCCGCTTGACGCTTGAGCAGTAATAGAGTTCATACCAGACATGATGCTTCCTTACTCGAGATCGGGACTGGATTAGTCCGGCGTTATGATATGCTTGGCAGCACAAATACAGAAGGGAATCTTCCAGAAACACATAGGGCAGCATGGGAAAGTCAAAGAGAAAGGAGGTCAAGTGAGTGTGATGTCCATGATAGCTATTGAGCAAAGCTATCCAGTGGGAAAGAACAAAGTATCCCGACGCTCCTTCGAATCATCGTTGTACAAAGGTGTCGAGGCGCAATGCTAGCGGCAGAGTAAGCATAGCTGCAGTCTGGGCACTCGCAATCTTCGTGCTCATCGAACTTGTCGGTATAACGACCGATTAACCAAAAGGCGTGCTTGACAAACTTTGTGATGGAATCGAAAGGCGAGGCCAGGGGATGAGGATGACCGTAAAGGTATTTGTCGTCCACTTTTCTTGAGGTAGTCATCTTGCCGTCGGCTGTTTCGCCCTTCTTCTTCTTCTTCTTCTTCTTCTTCTTCTTCTTCTTCTTCTCCTCTCCTTTCTTGGGCCTTTTGACTTCGCGTGGCTTGCTGACGTACTGGTAGCCATGGGGCAGGTTTCCAACGAACCAAGAGCGTCAGATCGTGTTTTCGTACCTTTTAATTGAAGAAATCTTACTCATGTGCCACAAAACATGGTGAGCGCCGCCACCTGCGTCTCCTTTCTTGACTCTCTCACGCATCTCGTCGAGCCACTCATTGAATCTGGTGGTGAGCAGATCGAGACACACCTTATCGTCGAGTACAGTGCAGGTCTTGTCGGGCTTCTGGCTCAGATTGTCCCAATCGGTGTTGTCGAGAGCGCTCAGATCGATCTCGCGCACCTCGACGTGGCTCTTGAAGGGGCTGAAGAGGTCGCGATCTGCGTAAGGGTTGCCTCTGTACACGGACTCGTCGCTGTCAGACATGTTGGTGTCGGGCTCGTCGTTGTCAGACATGTTGATGTATGGTTGATGGTTGACGGCGAGATTAATTTCTCGGAGGGGGGAAGTGTGCGGCTTATTCATTCGCAGCCTCCTTCCACGGACCGCAATAAAAGCATCCGGGCACGACATCATCGCTTCTACAAAAGAGACTTCACTCCTTGTTTCAAGCTGAATCGACGCATGGTCTCGACGATTGTTTGGACGAGCACCCCGACGGAATACTTCTGCATGCCTTGAAATCCCTCGGGGACAGGCTACCAAGACTTCAGCTTTTCCGTGTATCAAACTTAGTGACACGTATAACTATAGAATTGCATAATGTCGACAACAGAAAGGATGATGTCCATGGAGAGGTGACATGTTAAAGGCTTTCTTCGGTCATGTCTCCGCTGAAGAAGCCTTTGTGCCTTTCTATGGCCACAAGCAGCTACATGGCCTTATGGGAAGAGGCCGAAAGTATCGCGAGCATCACAGACCTCAGCTCACAGAGGGGACAGAGAAGAAGCTGAACTCCCTACTTCGAGCCAGACAGATGCGAATCGTGAAGTCCGTCTTAATGAGCATATCAGCGAATCCTTCCGCTTGCGTTTGACAGCATAACTCCAAATGAACGAAGCCTTGTTCATTGTCTTTGCTGGACTGGCAAACATCTTGATTTTCGTGCTGAAGAATGTTGTGACTGGCAGACTGATCAAAAGTTCTGTTTGCTTTGAACAGCCTTTGTTCCTGATTTACTGCTTTAGAACAGACGTGATCCTGCCCAGCCGATGGCAACAAACCAGGAGTTCAAGGATGACTCTGATATCGGATACAATCTGCAATCTTGTACGGGTCTTTGTTAAGGGCTGTCTCCGTATCACATTTCCTCCAAAACACTCAAGGCCTTGATATGCTATCAAAAGTCGTGAACTCGTTGAGTACCATGAAGCTGACCACTGAGAGTCCAAACTCTTGGAAGTCTCATTGGACTTGGCCATGCTTTCATCATTACTCTGCATTGTCATGGTTCTCTCAAAGACTGCGAGTCTCATCTGAGATGACACTTTGCTTCCTATCTCTCCTCCCTCTCAAGTTGTGCTGATATACTATCAAGACTCATGATGATATCGTGATTCATGATCATTTCCAGTGAGAGCAGGTCATATCTTCACTCTCCCTGGCCGTATCCACGTCTATCAAGATATTGTGTCTTTCGATAGTATATCATGCGGTGGTCAGCTTTGCCGGAAACGTTAAGGGTGCCCAATGTGTTTACGTCGACAAGCCCGTCTATTGTGAAGCCTAGAGGCTCTGCGACATGAGCGAACAGTGTTGATCCCGATTTTGTTCCGTGAGGACATTCAGATCACTCACTGGACAGACAGAAGCCCACGGAAAGCGACCGGAACCTTCTCTCGCGAGCAGTGACCGCCTCGCTCAGGTATCCAAACTCACTGCTCTTGCTCTTTCCTGACTCTCTCTCGACGCACCGACGACCCACACAAGAAGACACCATGGCGCACGTCTTCTTCCGCCGCAACTACGTCCACGTCCGCGAGCTCAACCTCAGCGAGATCAACTATCTCGAGAGTGACCCCGAGCATCGCCCTCGCGCGAGCCTGAACTACACCCCTGTGCTCGACGACGACTTCCTCGAACTCCTGACCACCGCCTTCAACAATCATCCTTCTGCGTCAAGCATGATGGCCGAACTGAGTAAGCAACCGTTGTGCGGGATACATGCTTCCAGTCACATCGACTGATACCCGGTGCTCGANACAGACTGTACCCGCATCCGCTTTGTTGGCGGTCTCCCCAGAGGCTTTGCTTGCTTCCAGGCTCTGAGAAGGGAAGGCAAACATGCCGACAGATACATCTATGGCCACCACGAGAGCACGAGAAACAAGTTTGGAACAGACAAGACGTTCAAGTCGCTCAAGCAGTTTGTTCCTCATGTCTTTTGGATCATTGTGGATCAGCCTCTTGCCGACAATCGTCCTAGAGGTTGTTTGTGCAAACTGTGTGCTGAGCAAAACTACAGACTCTGAATGAGTATGGGTATGTTTTTGTGTTTTTTCTGCTTGCTTGGTTGAACTCTTCTGACAAGACGGTGGGCAAAGCAGTCGACTTCAAGATACCGTGACATCGACAAGCTCATCAGATATTCCAACGGGGTTTATCCACAGAACAGTGTGACAGTGTTGGAATGAGCACCAATCGGGCACAGTCGGGAAGCAGAAACTCCATGAAAAGCAGTCATCCAGAATCCAATGAGACACTTTCTTCCGATTGCAGATGTGCCAGATATGTTCTTTTGTGATACCGGCATATGAGAGGGCTTTGATGTCGCCACAAAGCATGGTCTCAAGAATCAGAGACGTACATTCTCATGGCTGTCTTTTGATGTTCGTTTCAGTACATCACCGAGCGGTGAATGTACATTGATTGACGTTACAGTACCAAAGAGTAAGCAACAATACCAAGACTTGCTCGCCCATCTGCTTCTTCCAGCTCACAAAGCACTTTTTGACATGCTGGCAAAGAAATGCACGATGATTCGGCGATGATGGTTAGGATTCACTGAAAGCGTGTATATCTCGACCCGCCTATTGCACATTCCTCGCCATGCTTGAAGTATCTTTCTACACCAACACTTTGCCAGAAAGCAGTCAATGAGGTTGACATCTTTTCTTTTTGGCGACTTTTCGTCAAGGTGGTTGTCTCGATAGAGTTTTCTTCGCAGTCTCCTTGCGAATCTTGGTCAATCTTTCCTCCACAAACCATCCAGGTACGTCACAATCATAATATCGCGACAACATCCATCTTTGGTTTCCAGAACAAAGGCAGCAAACCCATTTCTCTCCTGGAAGCAAACCATGCAGCATAATCCCATGGCATCGCTCAATCAACGATACGGCGTTCTCAAACGCGCATTGTGCTGTCGCAGGATCTCGTGTCAGCCAATGGCGCGGCCCGAGTCTGCGAGACTGTCGCTGGCCTCTTCACAAAGCAACATACACACTTCCCTCTCAAGAACAAGCAAGACGACTCGCACATTGCAAGAACGAAGAACACCAAACGTCGCAAATACAACTTTTCTGCACCCGACATTGCCAGCACACCACTCCACAGCCACAGCACGCCAAAAGTCTTCAATCCCAAGTCTTGGCACTGCATATAGCTCACCACCACAATCTCTACTCTCCACATACATCATTTCCTCTCGGAACCGCAGAACCCGCGATTTTACCTCTGGTCCACACTCTCATCAGCAGATCCGCTGTTATACACGCCCCAAACTCTTTACCGATAGAAATGGCAACATTATAGGGTTTAAAAGAACTTTGACGCGGCTTTTGGTGACGATTGGCATGGTGTTTGGGGGTTTGTTTGTGGTTAATTATGTTATTGGGGCCGTCTTGTCTATGGTTTTGAAGACGGCGGGGTCAGTGGTTTGGGGCGGCGCTTGTTGGATTGGGTATGGTGTTTCTGCTTTGGTGAGGTTTGTGATTGGGGGTTAGTGATGAGGGGCGGGAGGAGATACAAGGGACAAAGGCATGTTCGGTTTCCATCAAAGCATGTTATTCGGAGTCAGAATGGCAAAAGGAGGGATATGTCTGAGGCAAATGGAGTTGATTGTCGCGAGCAGAGCTGATCAGAGAGACTGATCTCAATACACCGTCTTCTTCACTGTGGCACACTCCATCCAGTCAAGCCAATATCACATTTACTTTCCAAGACCTCCAAGGAAGCTGAACACCTCACAGATACACCACCGAATCCACTTCACCACACTCACAATAGCAGCACCAATCGCATAGTTCAACACAAACCACGCCACGATCATCAATCCGAGGATAGCTGAAACGACAAGACAGATTCTTCTTGCGACCTTCGGGTCCATTTTTTCGTGGTAGGGTGTTGTCTTGCCATTTTCGTCGGTATGGGTTGCGTGATATCCGCCTTCGTAGCGCAAGTGGCGGACCTGTTAACAACACAGAGGGGCAGTGGGTGTAAAGTTGAGTTGGGTGACCAGTGAGGACGTGCGGTTGGCTGTTGTGGTCAAAGGATCAAATGCAGCGTTGATCGCCTTGAAAGGTAAGGCGGTGGCGAGGCGTTGCTGCTGGCAAGTCCCAGATGATTTTAGCTTCAGTTAAGTTGGTAAAGATTGTTCTGAGGGCTTGGTGTTTGTAGAGATTGGCTGCGATGACTTCGGGACGGCGGGTTTGAGCATCGCTCTACTCATGATTCCGCGAGAAGAGTTTGGGGATACGGCAGCAAAGGCGCTGGTGCACGAAGCCCCTTGTCGGCCAATAGATCTCACGATGGTCGTTTGCATGTTTGCTGTGCTTTTGAAGTAGTTGTTGCAGAGAGGGTAGAGCCATGTACTTCTGTGCGTCATAGCAGGCGTATGTGAAACAAGCAGGTTGAATAGCTGAACTTCTTCGTGGATGGACCTCTTTTGTAGACAATGCGAAAGACCAGTCATAATTGTTGCATTGGTTTGAGCTGCTTTCTCGGGTCATTCCAATGAGCTGTGACTCTGAACTCGCGAGTCAACAAGTCGATAACTTTTTCCATACATGAGGCCTATCGAGTTATTTTTCTTTGCTTTGATGATATGCCGATGACCAGTGCCGTACTCGCCAAAGCAATCTGGACGGNCTGCAAAATGGAGAGAGCAAATCAGCTAAAGGATCCCTTGGAGAGGGGATTGAGCAACATACCAAAGGTCCTCCTGAAACTCGCCACAAAGGCACGGATGATCAAGTGCCGAAGACGGCCATGCAATGTTTGCACATACGCAACATCAGACAACACCTTCCTCGCAATCTAGGATACCAGGTTAGTTGCAGCTTCCCGCAGAGCCAGATTTAAGCAATATACCTCGTCGCCGCCAACCACCCTGCCCAACATTCTGTGGAGGTTTGCTCGCAATGCAGATTGGAAGATTGCACTTGCAGCACTGACGCCAGCCACCACACTGATATTGGAGCTGAGATACAGTCCCGTGGTCGCAATGGCCATTTGTTGTTTCTCGACTCCTGCAGTCAAGCCAACAAAGACTGCTGAATTTGCCATGCCTGACGCACAGCCGCCAAAGAAGATGACTAATGACGCAGCCGTGCTAGTATGACCTCGCCACAATATCAGAAGTAAAGAGAAGCAGAGCATGGCGGATAAACTGGCTAGGATTGTTGGTGGCTTGTAACGACCGGTNNACTAGGATTTTGTTAGTTGACCAGAGGGAAACTTTCCTGGAAGGAGAACTCACCGCTTAATCCAAGCACCAACAGCCAGGCCACCAAGTGTGTTACCAAACACAGCAGGAACAAGATGTGCGCCAGCTTCGCCCATACTTGCATTGGCCGTGACTTGGAAGTACAATGGCACCAGGAACATGAGNNCTGTTGATGGGTGTTAGTACACAGGTATCGGCAAGAAGCGCATTCTGAAACTCACAGCAACTTGAATGCCAGTTTGGATGAAGATGATCGAATATGAGGTAATCACGGCATCCTTTCCAAGCAACTCCAAGGGGAAGATGGGCTCTTTAGCCCACAACTTCTCAGTCAGAGCAAAGAGAACTCCAGCAGTGACTGCGACCGCCACGAGAGTTGCAAGAACAGGAGTGTTGGCCTTTTTGCTGCCAAGATCGAATGCTGTGATACTTGCTAGAATGGCGATGGACATAAAGAAGGCGCCGACAAAATCAATGCGTTTGAGCTTTGTCCAGATGCTTTGCTTGAGGTCAACGTTTTGATATGGTTCTTCGAGCTTCCACCAGACCAGCATGATGGAGAGTAGTAAAAGCGGACATTGTCCGATGAACGCCCTGGTAGGTGTCAGTTCGATAACGGAGGAGAACCACGGCGTTGCTTACCAGCGCCAACCAATGGTTTGTGTTAGGTAGCCTCCGATCAGACCTCCACAGCTTCTTCCCACGGTGGAAAACACATTGACGTAGCTTCTGTACGATGCCACCTCGTGTAGCGGTACCAAATCTAGACGCTAGGTCAGCAGACAGAAGTCATCTCAGCTCGAAAGAGTCATACCAGTCAACAAGATGGAAACCATGGAGACCATACCAGCACTTCCAGCACCCTGTATGACACGCCCAACGATCATCTGTACCATGTTCTGAGCAAGTCCTGCAATAGCGGTACCAACCAAAAACAGCAGATACGACATCTGTAGGATGGGCTTTCTTCCGAAAATTTGTGATAGACGTCCATACATTGGTTGTGTAGCGCATGTTGCAAGACCAAAGCTCGTCACTATCCAACTGCCATCAATCCAGCTGCCGCCTCCCAGACGGATAAACTCGGATGTGATGTGAGCATATGTCGCAAAGACCAGAGTTGTGTCGGCTTGAGAGACGAAAACACCAATCAACAGCACGGAGATGATGCCAAAGACTGAGCGTGTGGGTTGTTCATCGTGCTGACTCTCTTCCTGCCGTTGTGAGTCCTCAGCATCGGCTTCCTGATCCAGTAGAGGTTGAGTTTCCTGCTGGCCAATATCTCCAGACACGACCTGCGCATCCGATTCCTCTGCTTGGCGAGTGACCATGGCTGCCAGTCAAGACCGAACAAGAAAGATTCCAAAAAAGGAGAGTCGGACAGGCACGCGGGGGTGAACAACTGAGGCCGTTTTAAGGTTATTGTGGCTGAGGAAAGGATACGAACCGGTACTCTAGAGTAGGCAGCAAGGCCACGCGTGCTTATGTGCCCCCTTACCTTTGTTGCATTGTAAGGTGCAGACTCTGCCATAGAGTCATCGCGCAATCGCACTGCGACATATAGCGTTGAGATGACGGGTTAGGGTAGTTGTGGATACAACTCTTGATAGATGTTGAGATAACAGAATGGTGCAATCGATGGGTGAGCAGTCGTGATTGAGAACCTCGGGACCCTGGAGGAACATCGGAAGGCTGAGAACTATACCGTTTTGAGACAAGAACGTGGGCAAGCGTGGGGGAGTGATTTGCCGGGATCCGCGTAAAACGCGGCAGGGTGCTACAGTCGACATAATTTCGAACAGTCATCGATGATGATATAGCCCTGCCACTTGCATTTATCCTTTCAACACTCTACTGGTTCGCGTGCAGTACTGCCAAGGGACAGTCTGGTCAGGAATTTGATCACCTGAATGGTTGTCGGAGACACATGTCTGGATAAAGCTTTTCCAGAACGACACAATTGAAAAACTTCGGCACGCATCCACCATGACAAGGCAAGTTTCGTTCCCAACCACTTACTGGCCTGGTCGTGGTAGATTTGGATCACACGTAATAGTGGTCAAGGCAAGTTCGAGGTTGAGAACAGAAATGTGGATTTGGGTATCATGGTGTTAAGCGGAAAATGAAATAGAAAAATCATCTCATAGCGAGGACTTTTCGTTGATGTGAGGGAACACATGGTTCAGCCCATTGGTAGGTGCCTTTTTCTTGTCATCGGCATTTTCATCATAGCGCATCGTCTTCTCGCCTTCCGCCGTGTCCTTGGAGCCAGAGTCGCTTTGGTTACCAAGATGATCCTTTCTAATCTGCTCCTGATGCCACTTGGACAAATCCAACGTCTTGTCAACCTCTTTGGNTAAGCTTGTCGACTTCATCCTGAAACCTTTCATCGCGAGTCTTTTTGGCTTCTTCTTTGAGAATCTCGTCTTTTGNNTCTTGATGGGCTTGCCAGGGATATATTCGGGATCTGTTTTTGCCCATAGGGTTTCTAGGTCGTCTTGCCAGCCAATGGCTTTTGCGAGTTTTCGGACACCTGTATCGCAGTCGCCTAGGAGTAGGACGTCGTCGGAGCGTGAACCGAGACCGCCGACTCTTTCCATGTTGATCAGCACTCGAGGGACGCCGGACTTGCAAGCACCGGGCAAACTTGCAAATGGCTGTACTTGCAGAGAAGTGCCCAAAACAATGCAGAGATCGGCTTCCGTGGGCACATCGATATTGTCAAAGAAGGCACTAGGAAGTTGCTCGCCGAAGAACACAATCTCGGGTTTCACTAGACCATTGCAGCTAGATTTCTGGCAGCGAGGGATGGTCTTGGCTTCAATGTGTTTCTTCAGCTCTTCCTGAGGATATGCACTTTTACAGTCAATGCAGCTCTGACGAGCAAAACTGCCATGGGCTTCAATGATAGACTCGTCAGGCACACCAGCCTCGCGCTCGAGACAATCGATATTTTGCGTAAACAGCTTGAGCAACAACCCCTTCTCATGCAGCAAACGAATAAACGAATGCGTAACAGTCGGACGGTATTTCCCAGGATACAGCTCGTGAGCCAGAGTATAAAACGGCGTGGGATTCTCGCGGAAATATGAAATGTCGAAAACAGCCTCCGCATACGGTAACTTGAGTCTAGCAAGATTGGCGTAGAGACCAGTATTCGGCGAGCGGAAGTCAGGAATGCCAGCACTTGTCGAGATGCCTGCGCCGGTCATGACAACAATGCGTTTTGCGTGTCCATCGCGGATGTATCTGGCGAGACCATCGAGGGTACGGCTTTCGAGTGTCTTGGATGGCGCGCTCTCGTCTACTGGACTGGAACCGTCTTGACCCATTCTGAAGCGTCCCTTTCCCACTTTTCCTCGATCCTTGTTTGCGCCTGACGGGCGGTGCGGTTTGTTCTTGCGACCTATTTTGAGAGCGTTGCGGAGCGAGCGATTGACTGGAATGGCGAGTCTTATCCCGGCGGTGGTGAAGAGGTTGAAAAATCTTATCTCGAGTGGTGAGAAGATTACGGATCTTGTATTGGCGGTGGTGGATATGTAATAGGTATCGATTTCGTGACTCGTGTACGAAGAACAAAAGCTCGAAACAGTTTCAAGGAAAAACACCCCGGAAAGTCGAAAGGGTCCTGAGAGCCTTTTGACTCGTGCGTGACCTTCAACTTGCGTCATCGTGATTCAGGGCCCGGCAGACTTGTCCGAATAGAACGGCTACTCGACGAGCAGGAATCTTTGATCAAAGTTGTGCAATCAGGAACTAACATCCTCGGCTTTGGCAGTATGTCTCATCGAATGCTCGTTTTACTATACACACCCTTCACAGGAACTTTAACAACTTTACGTCCAACACACAGCAATTGGAAGATGATCTAGATCAGGCCCAGAAGGATGATAATAGGCAAGTCTAGTATATACCCAGGTTGATCTCCATGAGGTAGTGGACAAACACAACAGACGTTAGTGTTTGGATTCAGTTCTGATCGAAGCTTGATGCAAGCTACTAAAATTGTCATACAGTCAAGTATGAAGCTACAAAACCCAACTCCATCTTGGACGAGGTACCATACGTCAACCATGTGCCTACTATGATTGGTGGCATTGGTGTAGATGAAATCAACTATTTCTACCGGACAATCATGTCTCAAACCCCCTCCAGCTTCAAGATGCGGCTTCCGAGTCGTACCGTTGGTGTGGATAAAGTGGTGGATGAAATGATGGTTTCGTTCAGACATACACAGGTCATGTACTGATAAGTTTTCACGACTCTTAGCCACATACGATTGGCCTCTGATCATCGGTCTAGGATATTACCAAGGACATCGCCGACGAACAAGGCGGTACATGTGCCTGTTGTGTCCATCGTGAGCATCCGTGCAGGCAAGCTATGACAGCAGCAGTCGTATTGGTACCAAGCGAGCGTGCTCGTTCAGGTTGGAATACTCAACCGCGCACTCGTGTCTGATGCCATGAAGGCGGGAAAATTGGAGAGGCTTCCTGTTGCCGTCAAGAAGGCCGCGGTAATAGTGTTGGGCCCAGAAAGTCATCCTAGTAACAACATGAATCCGGGAGGGGCCAATCTATGGACCAGAGCGGTACCTTGGCAGCACTGATGTTGCTATCGTCGAGATGGTTGGCTCAACCGACAAACTTGCAGGTGGGCATGCGGTAGTTGTCCAGTGCCCAGTAGCGGCGGCGCACACCTTCCCATTCACCTTGCTCGTCGAGATCGGGGATGTGGATATCCTCAAACTCGGTATCCATGCCAGCGTCGAAGAGATCCATCTCGACAACTCTGGTGTAGACATCGTAGCACACCTGTCTGTCGGCCCCGAGTCCGTTGAAGAATCCAAAACGACCCTCAGGGTCAAGCAGACCAATGACATACTCGGTGAAGAACTCCTTCAGAGCTTTGTACTCTTCGGCAAAGGTGTCAAAGTAGATGCCATCAAAGACTTCGTTCTGCTCAACGAGCTTGGGAACAACATCTTGCCATCTGCCTTCGTGGATATTGACGCCAGGCTTCTCGTACCAGCCATCCTTGCGCATGCGAGCAAGGACATCAGGATGTGCCTCGATGATATGGTGGACTGCAACCTTCTTGTCCTGGAAGATGCCATCGATGATGCCCATGCCATGACCAACGTTGAGAACGCGAAGTCCAGGCTCGGGGCAGAGGCGGTCGACAGTCTTTTGCATGATATCAGTCTCCCAAGCCATCATGACACCGTTCTTGTCGGCATCAAGCAGTCTGTCACCCTTGAATGTAAGGTTCGAGGCAAGGTAATCTTCGCTGTTGACATCGACCTTTGTCTCTTCTCCATTCTCGTCAATCTGGACAAGCTCAGGCACACTTTCACTGCCGGGCACAGTGCCATCAGGACCAACGAGTTCCGGGGCGCTCTCTTCGACCTCGACCATGGAAGCTTCCAGCGAATCGCCATTTTCGTTCTCGATAATCTCGAAACCCTCGACTTCCTCCTCCTCGTCTTCGCTGTCGTCCTCGTACTGTGCCAGCATTTCGAAACCGTCGAGACGGCTCAGCAATAGCTCTGCGCGGACACCAGCCTCGACCATGGCTTCGTAGCACTTCTTCAGGCCCAATCGCAAAGCCAGGCATCCAGGGGTCTCGTTGTTGTCGTCCAAGTCGTTCCAGATGGCGCCGTGCTCAAGCAAGAGCTTGACGGTCTTGAGAGCCTCGTCTTCCTCCAGAGCTGAGTCATTGAGAGTGGCGGCTTCATCGACATCCATCTCTTTCTTGTCTTGGGCGGTCTCGTCGTCGGGCTCGCATGCAGCAATTGCCGCGTGAAGGGGAGTCATTCCAGTATCGGAGTCGACGACATTGGCGGAGCCTTTGGGTGTACGCAAGAGACGGCGGAGTGAATCGAGGTCATGGTTGGTGGCAGCGAGAAGAATCTCCTGCTCGGTCGTGTCGGTATCGATGTCCATTGCTTGGTTGTCTGCCATGTTGGGCTCTGTGGTTCAATGATTCGTGGTGAAATAAAACTTTGTGACTGCGATTTTTCTGTCTCTACAAAAAGCGGAGAAGGTGCGGGGAGCTCCTTCCAAAAGTTTGTCACTCCAATCTTGCAACAACAAAACTCTGCAGTCTTGTCCTGGGTTACTTCACACATCTGCCAGCTTAGGAGCTGAGTGTCATTCAATTACTGATCAGAATCTTGAGATCAACTACGCTTGTCAAGATATTGGTCATACATGCTATGTTCCTGAGCATCTGATGTGACAAACTTTAGCATACTCAAAAGTCGAAGCTCTCGGCGAAGACCCTGGAAGCATGGCTGATTGGCCAGGTTCTGCACTCGCACGGCATAGCAAC